GCTCTGCTTTTCAGATTTTGAAGAAAACTGATACTTTTGGTGTTAGATTATGAACTACGTTCAGGAGGTAGCTTTTTCTTATCTTTGGACAATCACCACAAGATCACAGGCCTTGTCTCCAAAGGAGGAGGGAAGATGTTCACATGTCAGTGCTGCATCTCTGCAGGCATCTTTACCTCCTTGATGTCTAGATTCTGTTGCAGTAATGTGCTGCTTAGTGATGAGATGGAAATTCTAAGCTGAGTTCACAGCTGATTGTTGGCAGCTTCCCACTCCAGCACATAAGAAAGATTTCAGTTCCTTACCATTCAGCTAATTTAAGGTGGTTTTACTCCACTTGGATCCTCAAATGTGTGTGCCCTTTGCTAATGTACACTGCTTTTGTCTTAGGTACAACTCCAAAAGGAGGCACTGGAGAAGGACCAAACTGGGATTGTAAGAGGGACTGTCTCCTGGGAACTCTAATAACACTTGTCTTTCTGCGTCAGACTGATACACCTGTGGCTGTTTGGCACCCCCAAGTGATTCCCTCTGTAGTGTTGGACTGCACCCCCAAACGTGTGTTTTGTTGGGTTTTTTTGTAAGCTAGTCTGGGATATTTATGTTAACTGGGAAAATCTTGGAAGTAATTTGCATCTGAAACATGAAGACTGTGTTCTATTAGTGTTCTTTCTTTCAGGCATCATCATGAGTATTGACAGTGTACAGGTTTACTAATAAATACAGACCTGGATGACTTGGTTGAAATTACTTTATATATATATGGTGGGATAGTAACAGAATAAAAACTAATGTTACTGTGAGTATAATCTCAGTGTGAGAAACCTTATCAGATAGAGCAGGCCATGTCTTCCTTTCCACTTACTGTAAACCTCTTGGAGCAAAGCATGCCATTTCTTTAAAGGAAAGAGTAAAAATCAGAACTGATTTTTAAAGGAGTTAACGTGGGAAAGGGTACCATGGTACTTGGCAAATGCTAAAATGTTATGTGCCCGCAGGTGCTGTAAGAACACTTGCCCATGGAGTGAGAGCATGGGGCTGAGATGATCAGTGGTACTCACAAAGCAGCATATGGGCAAAGCTGCCCTGAGCACTGCGTGTCCTCATGAGCCTGTGCTCGGGCAGCTTCATACCCCGGCAGCTCCATCCCCGGGGGAGGCCTGGCCCCACTCCTGGAGCGCTGGCTCTCAGGTAGGATGGGGTGCAGGCCAGCCCATGGAGTCTGGGGTTAAGATGCTGGCTGGAGAGTGAGTGCAGTGGAATAATCAGGTGAAAGAAGGTTCCACTAAAGAAATGGGAAAGGAGGGGGGATGAATAGGGCACAGTCAGTGGATAGATTTAGCTCCTACAAAATGCCACAATCTTACAACCTGTAGTACATAATGGCTGCATGTTCCCTAGAATGACGACCTGAGTTGTGTCTGGAGCTTTGTGTTGACTTGATCAGGTTGGTCTTGATGCCAAAGGTGTTTAATGTTCTCAGCAGGAGCATTAGTAACTGAAGATGCTGCTGTAAAAGAAGAGTTAGTACCTGTTTAAAAAAAGGGGCAAAGGAAGGAGTTAAACTGCCCAGAGAAGTCATCACTCCAGCTCCCCAGCTGGGCCATGTGCAATGTCACCTATACTGCAGGGAAGTGGAGAAGGAAGCTGTGGCTTAGCACCGAGTCGTGTGTGCCTGCTGCTCCTTTCCCTTCTGCAGTGCAGACCTGACATAGGTGCTCTGGTCAGCAGGAAATAACTGAAGGTGCAAACGTGTTCTCGAATGTGGCTGCTGCAGAGCCCATCCTGATGCTGAGGTCCTGTTTTCTGGGTTCAGACTGCTGCGGTAGCTCAGTTCCTGGGTGGCAGCTTCCTGAGGAAGCCTTAGGCTGCAATATGTTCTGTGTTGCTGCTTTTCATGTGAAGGTAAATAGATACATCTCCTTCACGTTCTGTTTTACAGCACATGATGCTAGGCAGCAGCATATGCTGAGCACGCATAAATGCATAACAAATAGATGGACAGTCTTCTTCGTAAGGAAGGTGTGCTGGAAGTTTCTGTGAGCACAGCAGAGCAAGGCTGGATTTTTACAATTTTCAGGATACTTCAGAGGTAACTTCTAGTCCCTTTCCTGTCTAAGAGTCTAGTTTCTACCTCATTATCGGGGGGAAGCAGTAAGTCAGTGCAACAGGAAAGCAGCAAACAGCATTGCTAGAGATGTTTCAACAGAGGCCCAAGTGCTGCAAACACTTTTACCCCATGTTTTTTAAATCTCTTCTGTGCTCTTCTCTCTGAAACAAGTGTTTAGGAAGTAACAGCACTGCTGAGGGTCAAAGATCAGCCTTGGAGCCTTGTGAACAGCCCTCTGCCTTTCCCCGTCACCACTGCTGGCAGGTAGAGCTGCTCACAGAGTTTCTCTTAATTTGTGTCTGTGAGGACCTAGCTGAGGGAGAGAAAAGTAATTTCTTTGAGAATGGAAAAAGTTTGCTCCATAGCATTTGTGGGAAGCCTTTCCTAAGTAATAGATTTAACTATTTATTACTGTTTGTTAGATAGTTTCACAGTACTGTGCTATTTTTATTAGGTGGAAGCAGCTTCTACCAAGGAGCTGTTTTGGAAAATAACCCCTCATAATATTTTTCTCCATTTGACTGCTTTTCAAATTGGATGTGAAGGGATAGCATGAAGTAAATTTACTACAAATTAAAGTTGGGTTAAACTCAGTTTTCTTCAGAACCTTAACACAAATACCTCTGGATGTGAATGATTTCTGCTGCCCTGTGGCAGCTCTTTTTGACCCTCTCCTTCCCTGCAAGTTGTGAGGGTGGTCAGGTATCTCTGCAGAACTGGGCTAATGCACAGTAACTAAGACATCAACAGAAGCTTTAAAGAAGAAAAAAAACCCAACTACGATATTCTACTCCATTTTTGTGGATAGGCTTTCATTTGAGTGAGACGCAAAGTGTGCAAAGATTATATACCTATTTTTTAAATGTCTGTATTTGCAAACCGACTTCCCCTCTGTAGGTCTGAAAGGAAACCATGTGAATGAGGGGTGGTGTTTGGGGCAAACACGATGCACAGCAGCAGAAAGGGTACTGGTATTTGCTCTGAGGAGAGGTTCCCTTGCAGTGCAGGCAAGGCAGGGGTGGCATTGATGAGTATGTTGTAACACCAGGCTCTGGTCTTGCTCCTTCTGAAGTGCCTGCCTAATTTGCCTCAGAGCAGAATACGGCTTCAAACCCATGGCCAAAAGATGGTTGGGAAGCTGCCTGTAGGTGATTTGGATAGCTGTCAAGGGGAGGTGAGTACTAAAAATTGTTACTTACTTAAGTGTGGCATTTGCCAGTTAAATTTTACTTTCCAATGGAAGTCCAGGTTTCCGGGTGCAGCATGACTAAGCTGCAGTTTCAAATGCCAAGGAAACCGCTCCTTCAAGGAAATTCTCACTAATTCCACTGGTTACTCTGCCTGACTCGGAGAAGAATGTCAAGAGTGGTCCTGCACCCTCTGCTCAACAGCATGCTGCTGTGAAAGGGTGAGAGAGGACTAATGGGTCAAAAAATACTTCAACAGAGATGCACCCACCTGTCTTACCAACAGTGCTGTGGCTATCAGAACTAAAGATTGCTGGTGTTCTGACATCAGCGCTTTTCATGGAGTTTGTGCTGCTGTGGCCAGGCTTGTTGGAAGCTAGCCTGTTGTCCTGTGGTATGGATGTGGCCAGAGAGATTCTGGAAGGAGGTATGTTGTTGTAGTCCTTAATCTCTTAAAGCATTACAAACCCAGTGTAGATCAGGCATTAAATTCATTCCCTGTGTGTTTTGTATGTCTCTGCTGCTGACCTTGGTGATTAAGATGTCCATATACATCTATGTGTCTACTTTGTCACCTGGGTGACTGTCACCTGTCACTATCCAGTCACCAGATTACTGTCTGCTTATCTGGAGGATGTTCTTCCATGTATTGTCCACTGCAGACTGGGTTATTCCAGTGTCTGAGCAGCATTTCACAATCTGAATATAAATGGAGTGATGTCTCTGCAAGAGCTTCTGCACTGTAATGGGGAACAGAAACTCCTCATGTGCTGTCCGAGAGCCACTTCCCAAATGGGATTGCTATTTAAGGGGGTAGAAATGGTCTCATGCTGATGAAAAAGGGGAAGTTGTTTTCTGAAGATATTTTGAAGCAGCCCTGGCTATTGAGAATGTGAAAAGCAAGCTGAAATCAGCTGGGAAGAGCTCCATTTGGTGAAACAAACACAAACAAGTGAGCAGAGGTTTTGCCTGTTTAATGAACTTACCAGTACATACACACAGGGTTATACTGCTATGAGGACATTTCTCAAGAGGTTCATTTTTGAGCATGACCTCAGTAGCAACAAAGATAATCTCTCAGCCTTTGTACATTTTCCATGGTTTTGAGCAATGAGTCATCGTTCCAGAGCTGCTCATCAATTCCAGTCCCTGTGGGAGCCACCACATGCTACCCTACTGGGTGTCCCTCCTGCCTCCTCCACTCCTCCTCCCATCTCCAGGGGGAGCATCTCAGGCCCCCCTGGATGGGGGTCCCAGGGAGGAGCTGCCAGGGGGGGCTTGTCTTGCACTTTGAAAACCTTCTGTTTTACTGGGCACTGCAGTTCTTACTTTATTGAGAAACAGCTTTAGCTGTCAAAGACAAACAGCAACCCAGAGGAGGTACATGTAGAAGAGGTCTGGAAACCTCACAGGGAACTGGAAGTGTGGCTGGAGGCACAGCCTGCTTGTCTGTACCCACTCTCCCTGACAGCAGAAAACCATACATAAAAAAGTGTTTGGGGGGTTGTTTCTGAAGCCATAGTTGCTTCTCCATGGTTAGTCCAGTGCCAGGCCTCTGGCATCACAAGAGTGTTCTTGTGAAATATGTGATTATATTCTGCCAGTGTCTCTGTCCAGGCACCTGAGGTGCCATGACAAGTCCAACTTTACAGCATTGCTGGAGCCAGGGGAGTGCTGTGTGGTTATGAGTTACTGGCTGGGCTTAAACCATGACACAGCCTCATGTTATAGGTGGGACAATAAAGACACCAAGTCGCTGCATGACCTTCCTGCAGTCACAAACAAAGTCTGCCGGCAGCCTGGGACAGGCACCCAGCCATCCACCCCAGCACAAGACACCTTCCATGGAGGGTCAGCATCCCCACACAGGCATGCGGGGTGTCATAGAAGCAGCTCCCCACAGCAATGCCAGCATGTGAGCCCCCACTGTGGGGCTCTGCTGGACTGTGGCAAGGAATCCCCATCAGCAGGGGTGGGGGAAAAATCCCCTTTGGACACAGGCAGTGCTCCCCATGGCCATGGTTGCCACACACACACAAATACCTGCACAAGCCCCGAAAGACCACGTGAGACCCAGGTGGCCAAAGTGCCCTCATGCAGGAGGTCAATCCCTGCTTGGCTGGGATTTCAAGTGCCAACCCTCGCCCAGTTCCCAGCCCCTCACAGGCTCTTCCAGCTACTATTCAGCGCAGGTTTGCAGGAGAACAGGGCCAGGGGAGCTTTAGCGCTCTTGGAAGAAAGTAAATGCCTGTCGAACAAAGACCCGGAGGGTTGACATGCTCCAGGAGCGCTGGGCTTTCCCCTCAGCCCTAGAGTCCACACAGTCCTGCCCTGCCCTGGCCTCGCTGGATGACTTACAGTTGTTGTTGGTGTTGTGAGAGCACAGCCGAACCAAGTCCTCCTCCAAGGCCCCTGCCAGCTCCTTCAGCTCCTGGGAGGTGTCTGCACTCAGGTACTGCCAAGCCTTGCGTCCGTTGTGGTCCCTGTGGCTGGTGTCTGCCCCATAAGCTCCCACCAGCACTTTGATGAGCAGCTCGTGTCCTTGCAGGGCAGCCATGTGCAAGGGGGTGAAGCCACCGCTGGCCGTAGGGATGTTCACATTGATGGGATAGCCCTTCTTCTGGGCATGGGAGATGACTTGGATGAAGCTCTCATAGTGGCCATGCTTGGCAAGCCAGTGGAGAGCGGTGAAGCCTGTCACAAAGTCTTTCCTGTTCAGCAGACTGGGATCTAGGTCCAGCAGCCTGATGATGTTGTCTGCATCACCCTGGGCCACTGTCAGCAGCCATTCATGCTCCAGGGGATCCAGGGCAAGGGACAGTACTTCGGGGCTCTGCTCGGCCTTCTGCTCTTGGTGTGTCCCTGCAAGGACACTGCTGACATCGGATGTCTTCTGAGCGGTGGCAAACCGCATGGTGCTGCTGGGGCTGTTGCTCTGCAGGAGAATTTCCTTCAGCTCCTTCCTCCGGGTACTGCCGGAGCCAACAGAGAGCCGGCCTGCAGTCCTGCCCCAGCTCCCCAGGCCTTGGCTGCTCTGGCTGACGCTCCTGTTGGTGTCCATCCTCTGCAGCGAATGGAAACGCTCCCTGCTCCCTGCGGCGGCTGGCCAGAGATGGGAGATGCGGGCCAGGCTCCCCGCTTTGGCCCGCGTGCCTTCCCGGAAGGTGGATGCCTGGGCAATGCCAGCTGCCCTTGGCTCAGCCGAGCCCTGCTCCCGCCGGGCCATGTCGGTGCTTCCCGCGTAGCCGGCCGGCAGCCCGCTCCCCGGCAGGGCTCAGCTCGCAGCTCGCACCCCACACTTCCTGCCCCGGCGTTAGGCAAAGGAGGAACCAACTCCACAGGGCGGGAGGGCACGGCTGCGGCGCTGCTGCGCTGCCGGGGCGGCGCAGTGACCTTTGCTCACGCTGCACCCGTGGCTGCCGCCGGCGCCGGGCACGGCCACAGCCATGGGCTGGCTGTCCCTCTGGGCTCCTCACCTGAGGTGACACAGAGGGAGAGCAGGAGGGTGCGCGGGACCAGCGGGTTTGGGCAGCCCAATGCTGCTGTTGCGGAGGAAATTTGATTAACTGCGTTCTTCTCTCTACATAGCTCTGTTTGGCATTCGTGGCTTAGCGTTAGCAGCTAAAGTAGCCGAAGCCTTCGGCTGCAAGAGCTGACAGCAGTTAAGCTTGGTAAAACTAATGCTGCTAACAGAACTCACTGAATTCAGCAGAAACAAGCAGAATGAAGAAGGACCAAAGAGATGAAAGCCAGCCCAGTGACTGTGAAACCCAGTGGGAAATCAAAAGACCAGCCACCAGAATTAAGTGATTGGACTTGGGGATGGGGTGATTTGTGGAACAGGTATAATTGGGAGGCATGAATTGGGATGGGGATCCCCCTCTGGAGGCACCCAGCTCCGGCTGTGACTGAAGAACTATTAAAAGACTAAGAGGAAACCGTCACTTGGACTTGTCATTCTCTTTTGCAGTGACTGGTATGTGTAAAGCTGTAACACTGGTCCTGGGGACGCCTCCTTTGGCCCCAGCAGTATCTCAAAGTCCCAGGTGCCTTGCTGAGGGCACCTGCAGTACAGCCCCCCTCAAACTGCTCCCCACCATTGCAATGCTTCTCCTTATTGCTGTGCTCAGGAAGGACAAGGTTGCTGCTCCAAAGGGCTAGTGGTGGGTGGGTCTCCGTGCTGTAAGGGAGACCCAGCCCAGCATGGTGATTTGGGCCCCTTGCCACTCAATGTTTCAGCCCAGCAGCATTCTGGCCTTCTTCTCTTGCTGTGTTTCACTTCCCAGCAAGGCCCCATGCCCGGTGGTGTTGGTGGCTGCAGCCACCAGCAGTTTGTACCCCAGCTTTATTAGGAATCAGGACAAATTCCTCTGCCTTGGAAGCCTCCAGTCCTGTCTCTCCCAAGACCTTTCTTATCCTTGACTCTTCAGACTCCCACAGCGTGGCTGAACTGTCACCACATGGTCTTAGGGCTGGTCAGGCAGAACCACACCAGCCCCTTCAACCCTTTTTCCTTTAGTTCCCTAAGTTTTATCCTTGTTCCAACCTGCCCCAGGCTGGCTTTCAGCCCCTAAGTGGCTTTGCCTTTCTCCAACCACTTGGACCAGGTTTTCTGGGATGTGTGGGGATCTGGTATCATCCCATAAAGCCCAAATGACTGGTTGTGAAAGCCTAATTGTCCCCTTGCTCCCTTTCTGGAACGCCTGGTTTTGTCACTGGCTGTTGGTGGCTTCTGTGGGCTCCGGACGTGCACAGCCGTGGGATGCCGCGGCCCACGTTAAGAGAAGAGCCACAGGGCAGTCGGGCGGGTCCCCCCGGGCCCTGAGGAGTCAGTGCGGGGGAAACTCCGCCAAGCGGGCTGCAGGCAGGGTCCCCGCGGGCCTGGCCGTGCCTCTGGGGCCGCGGAGCCGGCCCGAGGTTCGCACCCTCTCTCCCCACCCGCCTCTGCCGCCTGCCTCGCCCCCCTCCGCCCGCCGCTCCCAACCACAGTGGCCGCGGCCCCGCCCGCAGGCAGGGCTGCACCATCACGGGCGGTCGCGGGGGGGGACCGGCAGCCCTGTGCCTCCCGGAGCCGGGCGGCGGCGGCGGGACCGATCTGGGTGGGGTGTCGGCAGGGCGGGGAGAGGTGTCGGTGGCGGGGGGCGAGGGGCGCGCGGCTGGGCGGGGCCGGATCGGCTTTCCTCCCCCCCCTCCCCTGCGTGGCATCGCGGTGGGCGCGCCCGGAGCTGCCTGCCCGCCCGCTCGGCTGGGGCGGGCCCTGTGGCGGGCTCGTAGCGATGGCGGCGGCAGAGGTGGCGCGGCAGGTGAGAGCGGGCCACGGGCGCTGCTGCCGCCGGCCTCCAGCGGGCCGGGAACGGATGGGCTGACAGGCGGGAGCCCCTGGCCGGAGCGGGGAGGGTAGGACCGCGCTGGGGCTAGTCAAGGGGCGCCGGGCTGGGCGCGGGGACACCGGCCCGGCGCTTCCCGCGGGTCTGGGGCTCGGCGCGGGCGGCGGCGGCGGCGGCCTCCCGGGAGGGTCGTGGTTTGGCAGCCGCGCCGAGGGGAGCCGCGGTTACCGAGGGGAGACGCATGGGGTCCCCACCGCTGGGTGTGGGGCAGCCGCCCAGCCCGGCGACCTTGGGCTGCCTGCACCAGGGTTAGCCCGGGGGTCCTGCCCTGCCGGTATCTGCGTCCCTGGGCCCCGCCGCGGGCACTGAGGGACCTGCATTCCGGGGTGGGTCGGACTGCCGTGCCGGGGCGGCCTCGCCCTGCACGCGTACCCAGGGCTGGAGGCCACTTGCCAGGCCAGAGGGTGGTAGTGGGCACTGTGCCCCTTGGCATCCCTGTTTCTCTAGGGATGCTGTTCTCCTCCCAAAGAAACTGTCATCTGTGCCTGCTAGTGAGTGCTGCAGGGAAGGACATCCATCCATCCAGCACCGTATGCTCTGGAGGAGCTGTTGGACCTCTCACAGTACGTTGGCACCGCATCCTAGCTGCGCCGTGTCCCCAGGGGTCCCCCTGCGGTGTCATCTTTGCTGCCCACAGCCATTCCTTCCACTGCTGATGCTCACCAGCCTTCCAGCGTGGCACAAAGCTTGCTGTGTGCTGCAGAGAATTATCCAGAAGAGGAGCAGAGGGAGTTAGGCCACCTCTGCTTTTGTTAGAGTAATGCTAAGGAGGGGTTTTTTTTTGCATTTGGAAGCTTTTTGTTGTGTTTTGATGGGCTTCCAACTTTGGTGTGCCTGTGTTAGTACACAAATAATACTTGAGGTGAATGCTTGCTGTTCCGTCTTCAAAGCAGTACATTTTAGCATGGACCCAGTCTTGTTGAATGGGTAGATGTAGCCATTCCTTGCCAGTTTGTGATGTTATTTCCTCCTGGCCATACCCGTTGCCTTGTATGTGACTGCCAAGGTATGTAAAGTGACTCAGTTGCTCCCCTGTCTTTTAAAGAAATTGAGCGTTAGGCTTCCCTAAGATAATGTACAGGAGTTTCAGATGTCTGCTCATGGCCTGGAATGAATTATGATACAGCACAGCCTCTTCAGAGGCAAAAGGGAAAGCTGGCTATGAGCTGGACATGAAATTAGTGTGCTGCAAATTGGAAATGTCTTTGTGCAGACAGACAACCTGTCAGCCCAGGTCTTGGGCATCTGGTTGTGGCCATGGTTCACAGAGCACAGAGCAGCTGTAAGAGCTGTCAGTGAGGTTAAATGTGAGAGGTGAGGCTGGGTATGGGGGGATGTTGTGGTCACCACCCTGCCCCTGTCCCGGAAAACCCCTGATCTAACCTGCAGGTCAGGTTGGTGAAGCCCCCTCCTGGGGCGATCCTATCACCGCCAGGCTGAGGCCCCTCTCCTGTCCTCTGCCGGCATGGAGGGTGCAGGATTCAAGCACTCCCCATGGGTGCAGAGGACCGGCTCGCAGGCCACTGTCTAACTCTGTATCTCTGTAGTACAGGTCAGAAATATATGATATTTTAATTGCTGGAGGAGACTTCTTCTGGGAGTGTATGCAGACAGTGTGGTGTTCGCAGGGGCATAAAGAAATAGAATCTTAAGAGCTGTCAGAATTCGAGATTTTGGAAGCACTTGGCCGTTTGTGAATGTTGAATGTCTGAATGATGCAATCAATGTGCCTGAAAAGGGTGGTCAGTGTCAGGAGCTTTGGTGAGATGCTTCTTGCTTTCCATGGTGGCTGATGCAAAAATATTTCTCTCCCACTTTTCTGTTCTTTTATATGTACCCTGACAATTCGTTATCAGCCAAGCGAGGAAAACAAATACTAAGTCTTTCTCTACACTTTACATTCCTTCTTTGCATTTATCTTGTGGAGGATATTTATTTTGTCTGCTGGATAATTGTGTCATTGCATAAGAGAATTACACACTTGTACAAGTGAGAAGTAATTGGTACAAGTGTTGCTGTAATTTGCTGTTTAATGAGAGCCAAATGTAGTCTGGGGAAGTGGATGCCATAACACTGAGAGCGTGAGAAGGGATCTGGTGGTGTTCTGGCTTAAGGATAATGTGGAAGCCTGAATTCAGGTTGTGCCTTGCTTTGGGATTTGACATTTAACTTCTTGTGCAAGAGTTGTCTCAGGCATAGGTGTTAACCCTGTGCCTCAGCTTTTGGGGTGGCAGAGGGGAGGGAGCGGCAGCTGGCAGCATGGTCAGTGGTGATGGAGTTCCATAAGCATTGCTTGATTTGTTTTCATTGCAGGATGGTGCTGTTATGTTTGTTGCAGCTGTTTAGAAATCCTCTGCAGGGAGTTTCTAAGGCCTCAGCGTTTGAAGTGAATCTTACCTGGGTAGAGGTGGGAAATTGTGTCAGAAGTAGGAAATGTCAGTTGTCAGTCTCCTAAGCAGAAACAGTCTTTCCAGTTATATGCAGAAGTATTGTACTGCAGTTTGTGCTCTGCCCGAATATCACCCGGTGGAGGCTCTTTCTTTGACATGGTGTCCTTTCTCATTGTTCCATTAGTCCAGACCACCAGAAACTGTTCTGAATGTGGAGTGTTGAGATTTGCAATGAGCAGCACCATTGCATATCTTGGGAAGCAAGCTCTGTGGTAACAGCCTCTTAGTGCTCTGAGGACATCAGGAAGTGACATTGCTATACCTGCTTGTGTAAAGCAGATCAAGGCAGAGACACACATTCAGCAGGATTTTCCTCTAATCATGGGGTTTTTTTTTCATCCCAAGGACCCTGGAATGATCCAAACTCCTGGAGTCTAAATCTGGCCCATTTTATGTAAACTAATATTTAATGTGTAGTGCTTTCAGGCTTGGAGTAATTTATTATAACATCTTTGTATTTCCCATATATTTGATTAGTTCTCTCTAAGAATTAAGAGTGGCAGCAATGGTTTCTGTGGTGTGGAGAAGCCCTAACAAAAGATGTGTAAATCCTCCAACGACAGATTAAAAATAAAGTAACCTCTTCAAGAGCCTGTTCCTTATTTTCACTCTGCAAAAACCCTGCCTGGTAATGCAGCAAGAGAGCATGCTGCTCTTTTTGTTCTTCTAATCTTGTTTGTGGCAAACACGCTTTGCTTCCTCTCAAGCAACAACAGCCCATTCTATCCCGGGGGGGTGGGGGGGTGTCACTGTGTATATGGGAGAAATAAAGAGGCATCTGGTATCTTGGTGTGGTGCCAGTGTTCACATTGGCTTCCCAGAGATCCTGTCTTTGTCTTAGTTCCAAGGAGATGCTAACTTTAAAATAAAGAGTTTGGAAAGACTCTTGGCCATCCAGTGCTTACTGATGCTTCTGGGAAAAGCCTTCACACATACAGTAGTTCAGCCCTGCTCACCTTGTTGGTACCTCTTTATATGTTTTACATTTGACCTGAAAGACTGTTGTTGAACATAAGTAATGAAGATCCCTCTTGAGCACTTTATCAGCAAAAAGCTTATAAACTTGACATATTCTCCTTCAGTTTTGAACAAGGTGATCCAAATCCACATTTTATGTACAGTCAGGATGACTAATTGCTGGGTTCATATGTTGTTTATGGTGATGCTGTTTATATATAGCAGTGTTCTGGATACTGACACCACTTGGTGCATGAAGACTGGTGACTTGCACTGTTTCTTGGTGGATCAGGTAGAAAATGTTTTTCTCTCTGCAGGTTTGGTAATTGCTGACATCTTTCTGATGTGTGTCAAAACTAGTCTGATTTTAAAACATTATTTCTAATTTTTTCACACTACATCTGATCTCTTGATGCCTTGGCCAAGCAGCTTTGGGTTTTTAGCCAGAGGAGCAGAATATTACCTCCTAGCTGCGTATGTAACATGAAGGCTCAGCTGCTGTGGCTGGAAATAAGATTTTGCAGTACTTGTTTCCTGGTCTGTAGCAGATGTGAGCTGTGGTTTAACTGCATTATAAAACCACAGGTGACTAGAAAAAGAGGCTACAGGAAATTACTTGCAGGCTGAATTCTGTGTGACGGTAAATGCCTCCTCTCAGCTGAGAGTGGCTTTAACTTCTACCATTTATTTTGTTCCATCTGGATCACACTTATATTTAGGGATGAGGAAAAGATTTGTTCTTAATGAGAGCCTACACTCCTGCCCACGCTTCCTGGGGAGAGTAGCGTTCAGTCTTCCAATGGTGCAGTTTTATGGCTGAGTATTAAAAATACGCTTGATATTTCTCCTTCCCATTCTGCCTGAGGTTCTCTCTCATGCCTCTGTGGGCTCTGCCCACCCATCTGTTCTTCACCTGGGCCATGGTGCTGTTGCTGCAGATCAAACACTGCCATGAGATACTCCAGTGCTGAGTTTTTGTTTTGATGAAAGCAGTTTGAGAGAGGTTGTATTATCACAAGATCTGCATGCCTGCCAGTCTCCCTTTTTTCTGCTTTAGCTGTTTACTTGTGAACTATTGGGCCTTGGAGCTGCATCCTCACAAGGCAAAACCAGAACCTGCTGGGGAACTCGAGCACCTTCCTGATGAACATGTCGTTTGGAGGCATGGTGCTCAGGAATTAATAAAGCACCATATTTGGTGAACATCTTGGCAGGAAGAGTCAGACTGATACACAAAATATGGCTAAGGGAAAACATATTTACACATCACAGAGTGGTAAGTATGGTTAATGGTTGGAGTGTATTTGGAGCCTCTTTGGGGGGGAAAAAGCCCTCATCAGGAAAGCAGTAATGAGGCAAGTAATCATACTCTGGCAGGCTACTGTAGGAAATGCAGTCCTTGGGGATGTTTTCCTGACTTAAAATACCAGTGCCTTTAGCAGAAGAAGGAAAACCAGTATGTCTGTCCCCATAAACAGGCTTTCAAGATATGTGAAAACATGATTCTGAAAGAGTAAGTTTAAATTACACCCTATAAACTATTGCCTTTTGGCTGTAGTGTTTCTTGGAAACCAGTGATGTTCCTGAAAGGCCAGTGGGGAATTTTCTGTGTTTGACACTAAAATACATTTGCTCCAGAAAGCAAAATATGTTATTGGGTAGTTGCAGGAGGGGAACTTCCCAGTACACACAAATATGCAGGGCTAGCACTGACTCTCTATGTTACATGATGCTATTTCTGAGGTTAAGCTTCTGTGTATGGTTTGTTACTACTTCTGTGCGTGTTCGGAACACGGAGTGCCTTGGCATACATAGATAGGACTTTGTGCAATGGCCAGGTGGAAGTTTCTTCTTGCCCCTCCAGAAGCAACCATCTGTGCTGGATGTGGAGCACAGCTGGAGCTGTAGCTTGGCTCTTCTGCTCCCTAGGGTAGAAAGGGGACTCCTGGCTGGAGGATGGGGTTAGTGGTGTTGGGCACAGGAAGGAGCAGGTTGTGGGAGCAGCTTCTCATGAAGTCCTTTGGGTGGCTGTGCAGGAGCAGACTGTGCCCCCAAGCAGGCAGTTTGGGTACAGCTGTTCCCAAGCTCCTATGCGAGCTCCCTTCTGATGGGGCTGCATATTTTTTTCCTGTTTGGTTCCTTGCTTTGAAAGATGTGCTCTAAAACTTGGATACCAGCACTCAGAGCTGGAGACCTGCTGCTTTACGTGGCCTGGCCTCCTGCCTGTGCAGCTTCCTTCAGCAATCCCCGATTTTCTGGTGCTAATGGCCATTTTATAGATTTGGACAGGCCCCTGTTTGCAGTCTGAGATTTTAATCTTTGCAACAATATAGGAGATATCACTGCATTTGATAGCTTGAAGACTGTATTCTCTGCTGTTCCAGTGCTACAGCACTTGAGCTTTGCAGAGACAGACTGTTTGGGTTGTTCAATTCCTAGATGTAGGTACAGTTTTCCTCACTGTTTCTAGCTAGATTCTGTAATTGCAGCTGTGCACGTGAATTATATATGAGTTACAGTTCGCATTAAGTGAATTGCAATATGTTTATAGGCGGAGGTATCATTAATACGTTCCTTTGCACAGGGGGTTCTTTTTGTTTTCAGTGTGAAACTTGTGTGTCTATGTAATTTCTCAAGACACAAATGTTTTGCTGCTCCTATTTCAGCAGCTGTGTTTGGTTTTGCACAGTTTAATGTTTTTCTGACAGGGCTATCTTCTAATGTGCCCCAGATGAAACATGCTATTTGTGCTGCCTGGATTAGTTTTGGAGAAGAGGGAAGCACAGTGACACAATTTACAGTGTACGTGCAAATCTCTGCTTGGACTGTGCAGTTGATTCTACTTGGGAGGTCTTAAGGGTTTATACAGATAAGTGTGTTTTGCTTGAACATGACACAACTGTTTCATTGTGTTTCAGGGTGAAGGCTGTCGTACTGTCCCGCTTTCCGGACACGTAGGATTTGACAGTTTGCCTGACCAGCTGGTTAATAAGTCAGTTAATCATGGGTTTTGTTTCAACATCCTGTGTGTGGGTGAGTATTTCCATTTTGGAAAGTTCTCTTGCTGAAAAGGGCTTCTCTGCAGCTCGATGTAGCTTGTAGGTGACAGTTAACAAGGTAGCTTGGATTTAAATTTCCCCAACTGTACTGTTTTCAGTAACAAGATTTACTGGTGCCCTGGGAAATCCCTGCTGGGGTTATGCAGTATGGCTTTCTACCAAGCAGGGAGCCATAGAAATAAAATACCCGAAATCCCACGCTTTGATTATGATCTTTATTTTCCTAGTATGTTGGAATTTCATGTTTTTAAAAGAAAATAGGTACTCATGCCAGAGACTTTTGTTCAGAGGTTTTGTTTGGTTGGGTATGGGGTTATTATTGTAATTATTTTAACAAAATACCAGTCATGCTCCTCTTCAGTCACTAAAAGCTATTTTTTTTTCCCTCCTCCTTCTGTGCATACTTGAATTAAAATAGTTTCTGGCCAAGCCTTAGCTGGTCAGATGGTTATCCAGGCTGCCATGTGGTCTGGGTCTCAGCTGTGGCCTGGCGCTGTAGTAGGACTTGGTGTCTGTCCCTGCAGTGTCTGCCTGTCTCGCAGGTCTTCCCCAGGGTTAGGTTCCCAAATGGTCCCTCCTCAGAGGCCCTCCTAGGGGACAGAAGTAAAATCTTTTGTGGCTTTGATTCAGCAGTTTGGTTGGGTAGATAAGAAAATTTATAATAGGGATTTAATTGTGTGACAGGACACTTAGTTTGGTTTACAGGTGATGGTGCCTTGCATCTGGGTGCAGGAGGATATTGTGTGGCTATGGCTGCTCAGGGTATGCCCTGTCTGCAGATGCTCCCAGTTGTGCTTGGCATGACAGAGGGGAGAGCTGCAGCTGTGGACACCTCCTGGGGACTCAGCTGGTGAGCAGTTCTGCACCCACACAAAGGTTGTCTGTACCCTCTGAGACAAATCCAGCTCATGGTATGGACCTGGTGTTTGTCCAGGACAGGGTTAAGTCTGAGACAAGAGGAGTAGAGTGAGGAGGGGGGAGCTGAGCCCTGTTAAATGGAGCTGAGAAGAAAACTTTCCCTGACAATGGCATTCCTGTGAGATGATAAACTTTGCTGACAAGTGGAGGTCACTGTCAGGCTGAGTTGCTGGGTGCTTTCCACAGTACATGAATGTGATATGACCTAGTTAAACTCTCATCCTAAAGACTGAAGTCTTGAAGTATTTCCTTTTGCATTTATTGTGCTGTTGTGCTGGGATTTTTTTTCTGCAAGTTATAGGTGTAGCAGTGGATGCCTCCTGTGATATATATTCACTTTGATGTGTGGAGAGGAACTGAATGCCTCTGCTTTCCTCTTTGCAGAATGGAAATGGAATGCATTGATTGCTTTTTGATGTGAATAACAAGGACTCACCAAGATCAATGTACATCAGTTATTAATGTCAGTCTTTTATGAATAGTAATAACACAGACATGGTCAACCTTGAAATAAAGAAACTATAGAAAAAATTAATAAGATTAATTGGGAGAAGATACACAAATCTTGATTTGAGGAGGTCAGGCTTCAAAATGCCTTGTAAGAGTTGTCTGGTGCCTCTGTTAACTTGTTGTAACAAAGTTAAACTCTTAAACAACGTAAAGAAATAAGAACTCCCAGAATCCATCTGTCATTTATTCTGTTGGGTCTCACTTGTGCAGCAGGAGTTTGGAGTGAAAATGGGAAGAACAGGGAGCAAATGAGGATTGGAGCCTACAGAACAAGTAGATGAATTGATCCCATAATAAGGCCACTAAGCATGGTAGAAAGGCACTTTATTGCCCCCTATTTTTCAGCTGTGTGTGGCGTCTGTTGGGGGAAAAAACACAGTGACAGTTTTGCACTGCATCTGAGCCACTGATTTCTCCAGCTCCTGGTGGAAGAGCCAAAGAAAGCTTCAGAAATGCCTCCTAGCAGCACGTCCAGAGGGGAGCAATTTTTAGCTCTTCTAATGCTAAAAGCTGTTTCCCCTTTGAGACTAGAGCCAAAGATAGAATAAATGAGCAAACCTTTCATAAGAAGTGAGGGGTTATGGATGTTTTCTTTGATATTTTATTCCTCAGCACAACCATTTTCTTCCAAAAGCTTCCATGATAAAATGTTCAGTGCAAAGGCTGGAGAAGCATTTAATAGCTGAGACCTTCTGTGCTGCCTGTATTTCTCAGTGAGATGGGGGAGAGAAAGAGGAAGAAAAGATTGACATGTTTTTTAATGTAAGCTCTTTCAGTTTTGGCCAGGGTAGATTGTAGTTGCATTATACTGGTAATACCATTATAAGCAGGATTTTCTCCTTCCTCTCTCGGGGCATTTGCAGGGGGATTTCTAACCAGTCTATTCAGTGCAATGAGAAATGGCTATTTTGAGGCGGCTCTTTCTTTTCCCATGAGCTGTACCACAACTGCTTGAGGTCCCTCACTCCAAATGAGTGAGCCTTCTCCCCTTGGTGTGTGAGAGCTCTCACTGGCTGGGGAAGGGAGGGATGAGCACAGGTTCCCTCATGCAGAGGAGCTGCTGCCTGCTCTCTAGCAGGCAGCTTTCCGTGGGGTGGTGAGCTGTTCAGCCTGGAAGTTGCCCAGTGGTTGGTGTTTTGGTCACTAATGCAGCCAGCTGAGAAGAGAACAGGGTTTCTCCAACCAAGAAGCCATTGGACTCCTTAGCTCTCGCTGCTGGTCCCCTGCAGTGGACAGTGGTGTCTGGGAGCCCGGTAGTCCTCTGAGGTGCTTCAGCATCTTTTGTGAGCCCATGTTGCTTCTCTTGCCCCTGCAGCACAGCCTTTGCCTTCTGATGGGTGAATCACAGAGTGTCTTTGCATGCCTGTTGGATGAAAAGAATCAGTTTTTCCTCTCAGTGAGAGATGGCCTTATCAGGCCAAGGTGCCTCAGGGCTTGTCTCAATCAACCTGCTACGTTGGATTAGCTCCCATTTCTTCACATGAAAGGGCTGTCCGTGCATATACATTTCCTTTAAGATTGAATTATTTGATATCTGGAGCTACAGTTGTTAATCTCATGGAGGATGGGTGTTGCTCTCATGTGAAAGGTCACTCTCGTGAAAGCTGCCTCATGCCTTTGAACAGGGAAGTACTCCAAGGGCTCCTCTGTCCTCATGCAGAGCTGACTGAGGATGATATGACTGGGGCTTCTTAAATCCTGAGTGATGTAGAGTAGGGGACAGTGACCAGTTGTTTGTTTTCGCACTTAACATGTCCTGGAGGAAAGCAAATTAAATCAGCAGGCACAAAAAAGGCAGCACAACTTTTGTGGTTATAATTCAGCTTGCTGCTGCAGGGTGCTTAGGGTGCTGAAATTTCTGTGGAAGCAAGAAGCCATGAAAGTGCAATCAGCTCAAAGGTAGCTGTTTTGGTTTGGGAAGCTGGGAACTTCCCACAGGAAGAAGCATTTGCTGTTTGCACAGCTGCTTCTGTTCCTCCACCTTAGCTACTGGCCAGTGTCAGAGACACTTTCAGTAACTGAATGGGAGAGAGTGGCCCTTGTCCCAGCTGCTCACTCAATGAGAGATTTGATGAACTGCTTCTGTAGAGCGCTGAAGACACCATGTGCATGTGCACTGGAGCAGGGAGCCTGTCTCGGGAGACTCAGAGGAGGTGCGGGGAGCCCAGCCCAGTGTCTCTAGCCTTCCAGGTTCTTGGGTGTTAACAGTGGATGGTGCCTCCTGGGCACTGGTGTGGGGTTGGTGTGTGTCCAGAGCCTCGCTGGTGTGGTGTCTCTTGCCACTTTTTTTATCATGCCTCTGAAAATTATGAGCCTTAAGAGCAAAAATCCATCCCATGATGAAAGGCTCTGACAGCTTTTCAGTAGCTGTCAGAGCGTCCTGGTGCAGACCTCTCACTAAAGGTCACTCTCCCTGCCCTGTCATCGCCACAGCACTTTGTCTGCCTTGCTGCAGGAGAGCAGACCACTGCTGAGTTGCATAATCCCCAAGTACAGTTTTGAGATCTAATCACATGTGTGCTATAAGCCTGACACCAGGAAATAATCTCCCTGCCAGGGATGCCTCTCAGTCGGTTTGCATACACCACTGCCTTTTCCACGGTGATTCTGCCTTCCTTAATCCCCATTCATCGTTTCTGCTTTTTGGAGAAGATTCTGGCACTGTCAGCTGGAACACGCACAGACTACTTGTCCTTTTCATCAGACCATCTGTTCCATCTGGACTTCTGTCCGTGCAAGAAGCAGTTGGCACCATTTACATCTTCCAGCCAGCAGAAAGTTGCCTCTGTGTGAGGCAGAAACTCCAAGGACATTCAGAAACCCTCCCTTCTGTCGTTCTGCCCTTCAGATAGCACTGCTCCCTATCTCTGGTCATACTTAACACAGTGAAGCACTTTATTGACATCTTCAGTCTTTTACCACCTCATGTTGCTCTGTCAGTGTTAACGTCATCTGTCTTGTAGCTGAGGCAGTTAATTCTTCTCCAGTCTTCCTCTTCCCTGGCAGGCTTTAATCATCCCATGCTGTGTCAGTGGGGTCACACAGTGTGGGGAGTGGGTGTATCTGCTGGCTCAATGTCATTTCTGGTGTGCAGCCTCCACGTTTGAGATGCCATGTTAGTGGCTGGGTGTTTTGTGTTTCAAGCATGAAGTAGTAGGGGTTCTGGTAGGCAGCTCCCACCTATGGCAAAATACCTTCCCTATCCACAAGGAAAACCCCAAGTGTGTGAAGTCCGAGTTGCTGTTGCTGGCCCTGTGTAGCTGGCATGAGATGGAGTATAAAAGCATGTTCTGTCTTAAAAATTTGCCTGTGTCTCTTATGCACTTCTCCTGCCCCTCCAGACAGTTAAAGTCACTCATGCTAGAAACAACACATTAGATTGATTTAACATAGGCAACCGTTAGCAGGGTCAGGATGCATTTAAACAATAGGCTTGGCCTCATATGAACCCCTTTCACCGAAAAGGAGGAAGGCAGAAACGAGGTGTTTTACAGGGTGTTTTGTCTGCCTGGAAGCCAGTGTGACTTACACACAACCGTGTGTACCCTCTGCTGAGAGCAGCTCCCTGCCCTGATCACCAGTGCTGCTCCCCTGTGCTGCAGCCCTGGGCACAGGCTGCTGGATCTGAGCCTGCTGCGGGGCCCACCAGGCTGTGAGGTGAACTTGGGGCAGCAACACAAGAGGAGTTTTTTCAGGCCAGTGGGAGGGTGAAGCTCCTGCGCCTCAGGACTGAAGCTCCCCTGTCCTGAGATGCCCCACTGGGGTTCCTGGCATTCCCAGGCAAGCAGCCAGCTCCCTGCTCTGTCCCACCCATCCCTTGGCAGGGGTTCTGGAAATGCTGCAGCCCTCTCAGCCTGTTTAGATTTTGGCCTTTTTTTTACACTACTTTTTCCTGGCATCCTTGAGAAGGGCCTGGCAGGTCATGCAGGCTGTCTGCTGTTAACCCTCAACATCTCAGTTCAGACTGGGGCAGTGCTTTGTGACCTGCTCCCTGTTTGGGGCACTTGGTACCCGAAAAGCCCAGAGCATGAGATTCCAAGTCAGTGAAGGGTTTGACATGATCAGCCACGAGTCTTCTGGGTGGTCCAGCTCAGTCTTCCAGGGACAGAGATAACCTTGTGCTTTGCTGGGTCCCTTGTGTTGGTGCTCTCTGTTTGTGGTGGTGTAAAATTGGCTGATGCATTGACATAGCACAAGGGATTGCAGCGATTCCAGCTCCTGGTGCTGACTGTCTTCTTTTTTGCAAACAAGATTGGTGCAAAGAGCAACTGGACTTGTGCCTATTCTGGCTGTAACTGGCATTATTTGGTGGTGGAGCATAGCTCAAGGTGTACATTGACTTTCAAATGTTAGTGGATCTTGCTGCCTCTAGAAAGATACCTGATATATGATCATGGCAATCAGAGACTGCTCAGTTCCCAAAGCAGAGGATGTTTTCCCTGCCCTGTCTGTCCTGTACTTCAGCCTTAACTGAGAAAAGTCTCTTCTGGGGCCAAGAGAGAGGAATTTGCCTGCTTGCAGGGTGAGGCTTTGAGATTTGGACAGGGGAGGATGGGGAGGAGTTTCCCCTTGTTGAATTGGGCATTTCATGCAAGTTTGGATCTGCTGCAGAGCTCTAAACCTACAAAAATAAGAAGCTCTTTTCTTCTGAGCAAAGTAGGAAAATGATGAAGTTGTCTTGGTTGGGAGCTGAGGGCTTGGGGAGGGAGGGGAAGGCTGCTTCAGCCAGACACAGGCTCCCTGTGGTCCTGTAGCGGCCTGGAGCAGCAGCCTTTACTTGCTTATCCTGAAGTTCCAGCAAAAGCCAGCTGGGCTGCTCAGAAATCCCCGTTTTCCCCAAACACAGCACCCCTCCCAGGGCAGCAGGCCAGGCTGCTCGCAAAGTCAGATCCTTGGAGCATAGAAAGCTGGCCCTGATGTCGGAGCGTGGTAAGGGAGGCTGCCCTGTGGAATGAGTGCATGGAGGGTTGTGTTTTGTTCTTCCTGGGATGTATCTAAAACAAATTTAAGACTGGGATTTATCTTTTCCTTACAGACAAGAAAATAGTTCTCTGTTGATAGGTGGAATCCAAATAACAGCTTAGTGCTGCAGAGCTTTTGGAAGCAGATTTTGGAGTGTCGTATAGCATGTAGCTCCTAAAGTATGGAAACCAGATAGTACAGAAAATGTCCCCTCCCAGTCTAGAAGGCTGATCCTCCACTCAATCTGATGTGAGTACAGGAAAAACTGCACAACTTGCTGGAGGACTAGAACCAGTTCTCATTGCTTCTGCACAGGAGGAGGCTATTTCAGTGGTTGCTTGTTAGAGACATTGATATGGAGCATCTTTATTTGGAAATGGCAATAAGCCCTACTTTTTAATGAAAACAGCATCTTCTATAGTGTGATTGTGGGTTTATGCAGGATCTGAATGATGCTTTGCCTTTTCACCTCTCCCTTTTCATCTGTATTTTCTAACGACATTAATGGCCATTAGACTGTGAAATGTAATTTGCCTGGAATACAGACCTCCCATTGTACACAGCTTTCTGTTTGCCAGACGATTCTTTTGGAGCATGAGATCTGCTTTCAACTGCTACAGTTTTACCCCTGTTAATGTTTGGAAGCTGAAAGGCTGGGCCATGTTAATATTCAACAGAACATTTCAATGCTCTTTTTCTCAAATAGGGGAAACTGGCCTTGGCAAGTCCACCCTCATGGACACACTTTTCAATACCAAGTTTGAAGGTGACCCAGCATCTCACTCACAGCCTGGGGTCCAGCTGAAATCCAGTACCTACGACCTGCAGGAGAGCAATGTCAACCTCAAACTGACTATTGTGAGCACAGTGGGCTTTGGTGATCAGATCAATAAAGAGGACAGGTGAGTGAAAGGAGAGAGAGGCTGTATCGGGACCTGATTTTCTCATGGAGGGTCTCTCCCCATGCCCTAGTTGGGTCAGACTGCGCAGTAGGTTTTTCTCTTTCCTTCTCATGGATTGTCCTTGTCATCTCTTTGGGATGGGACAGGTAGAAGAGCGGGCAGAGGCTGTGGTGTGCCAGCAGTGTTCCAACTATTAAAGCATCTTTTCTCATGCTGTCAGATCAATATCTGCCCTGCTGACAGCCTTCTGCCCAAATTCATCTGGTGGGAAGAGTGGAGAGTTCCAGGGCATCTGTGCTTGTTTCCTTGTGCTGTGCTGACCACAAGCTGCCAAGCAAACCACTTGGCTTAACAGCCACTTCTGGGAGAGCTCTTACATGTTGCCAGAGGAAGCACGATAAATGTGCACTGAGATACCTTGGGGAAGTATCTCTGGCAGCTCATGACCCAGCGTGGCTAGAGCGTGGTGGTCAAAGGGTGTTCGGATGGGATTTGCTTTGTTGTGGGTCTGTTACACTGTATCTTTAGTTCTGAGATGCACTGATGGCCTTTACATTGTGAATGTGACAGGCTCTGTATTTCTGATGGCCTTGCACCCTTACATTTCAAAGCGTGAGAGTCCGTGGTGTGTCTCCTGTCCTCTGCTGAATTTCCAGTACTATGTTTTGTCAAACCGGCTGCTGGCATCTGCTATAGGACCAAATCTCCTTGTGCAGCTTTAAAATTCCTTACTGGTGAGGAGGAAGGGAGGTTGAGACAATTGGTCTTGGGAAGCGAAATCTAACAAATAGCTTGATTCTTGAAAGCAAGCAGTGGAGCACTGTCTCTTTACCTCTTCGACTGTGAGATGTGTAAGTCTTTTCTTTTTTCCTTTCATCAAAGCTATAAGCCCATCGTTGAATTCATTGATGCTCAGTTTGAAGCCTACTTGCAAGAAGAGCTGAAGATAAGAAGGGTCTTGCACAACTACCATGACACCCGGATACATGCTTGCTTGTACTTCATTGCTCCAACAGGCCACTCGCTGAAATCCCTGGACTTGGTAACAATGAAGAAGCTTGACAGCAAGGTAGGCTTGTTTAACTCTTACTGAGCAGGTTCACCATGTGCTGCTTTTTCAGAGCACATCTCCCCTCCTCGAATAGCCCTTAGACCAGTGGACATGACTGGTTTGGCAGATAAAGCCTGTGTGTTTATGGAGCACTTTTAAGTTTTTGTAAGTTGTATTGCAGACTTGGAAAAGCAACCTGGAGCAAAGCTGAGGGCTTCTTACCGCTCTGTTCTTTCCTAGGTGAACATCATTCCCATCATTGCCAAATCTGATGCCATTTCCAAGAGTGAGCTGACCAAATTTAAAATTAAAATCACAAGTGAACTGGTTAGTAACGGGGTTCAGATCTACCAGTTCCCAACAGATGATGAGTCAGTGGCGGAGATAAATGGGACAATGAATGTAAGTGACCTAGTGCTTCCTCTTCTCCCAGAACAGCGCTGTTGCTGTAGGGGTTGGTGGCCCATATTGGGGTGCTTCTGAAATCCACTTTCCTTCTTGTTTTGTGTCTTAAAACCAGAGGATTGCACAGGCATCCAATCCTTGTAGTGTCAGCCTAGGCTATCAGAGCCTTCTGGTAGGCTATTGCTTCTCCAATGGGCTTTTCTAGTCAGACACCCCCCACCCCCAGTCTTTTAACCCCTTCCTTGTCTTAATGTGTATCTATTGAGGGACATGTAGGAAATCAGACAGATAGTGAGGCTGTGCAGGGCAAGGACAGTCTTTGTTCTCCTAGGCTGATGTTTCCTGAAAAGCCCTGCTTCCAGGGGTCTTCTTTTGCCTGTGGCTGTTCCTTGCCACAGGGACCACTGATAATCCTTCTTGACCACATGTGCAGAAGTGTTTGTGGATGGTGCTGCTGCTAGTGTGTGGTCTGTCTTGAAGGCAGGAGGAACTACAGCTGTAGAAATAAGGTGACAAATTACTCCTTTCAGAGCTGGCTAGGGGAGTTTCCCCATGTTGTGGTATGGAGGCTGTTCAGTTCAGACAGCTTTGTTACCTTCCCCTCCAGTGTTTTGTATCGCCCTGCCCTTTGCGATGAGACAGCCTTCTGCTGAAAATCAGCTTCCTTCAACCTGGAAGACCACTTTCCTTTTCCTGCTGCTTGCCCTCTCCTGCAAAGCAGGCTCAGCTCTGTGCTGGCATGTGTCCTTCCAGGTGCTGGTGTCAGCTTGATCTCAGAGGTAGCTCAGCATGGGAAGTGACCCAGAAGGCTGCATTGCACGGAGCCTTTGCATGGCCCCATCAGACTGACCACCAGCCCCACTTACTCTACGTGTCCTATGCGAGAGCTGGGAGGCCGAGGAATGAGAGCTGAAGAGCCCATCTTTGGGAGTGCTTGCAGGCAGTTTTGCAGTATTTAAGGTTTGACTGTATGAGCCACACTCCAAAACCAGGAAACATAATCTCTGAAATCTCTTGCTTATACCAGCTGTTATAAACTTGACCAAGTTTTCAGATAACCTGTGGAATTAAAACTTCATTACCTGCTCTTGAGAGCTGTCCAGGGTCACTGATCTTTCATATAGTTGGGGATACCCATATCCTGGGGCCCTTTTAATTGCCCAGAGATCAGCTTGCTTTAAAAGATCGTAGCCAACAAATGTCACTGCACAAAACTCAGCAGAAGAGGTGGGTGCAGGGAGTTGGCAACTTTATTTTTAAGTGCTGAAGCCTTGCGCTTGACTTCTTTGCTGTTTGGCAGGATGCAGTATACTTCCCAGGAGCAAGCGGAGGTGGGGAGAGATCTCACTTACTGCACAACATATATGCAGCAGAGTATGATGGCAGTGTCTGGGGGTTTGCTTGGCAGCCTGAGAATGGGGAATGAGTGTAAGGTGTGGTCTTCTGAGCCTAGAGAGGTGTTGGGGGTGTTTCTGTTCTGCTGAGCTTGCACTGGGTGAGTGTCTTAGGTGTGGATTTGGCCCCCTTTGTCCCCTGGCTTTGCAGCCATCTAGCAGTGGCTGCACATAGCATCAACATCAGGAGGATTTGTAAATCCATTGGCATTTCTTTGGGTTTCTCAGAACTGGTTTTGAGCACTGTGGGATTTGAAGGGGGGGGGTGCTAAGGGTGATCCCAACTCAGCTGCAGGAAGCATGAGATTATGGAGTTAGTATGGGGAAGGCTTAGCACAGCCCCAGGGAATGCAGAGTCCTTCCCAGCTCAGCCTGCAGCAGACCTTTGGGCATACATGGACATGGATGGAGGCTGACCCCGTGCAGGGTTGTGTTCAGTCCTTCCTTGCCACAGCTGAAGCAAGTGGGAGGAAAGAGCTGTTACTCTGGGGATGAAGAACAGATCTCATGATCCAATAGAGTGATGTGTCTTGTGCTCCAGTGTGAGCTGAGGGAGTGGTGAGGGGATAAAATCAAGAAGGCTCCAAGACCTCTTTTATTGCTTCTGTGCTTGTGCAGATGTTCTCCTCAGCTACGGCAAGCCCTTGGGACAGCACCGCAGTCAGAGCCGCGCAGCATGTTGTTTGAGCTGTTGTTCTGATGCTAGTCTTGCACTGGCTCATCTCACCTGAGACCCCGTGGCTGGGAGGATCAGCCAGGTAGAGGATATAGAGTGGTAGCACTAACAAGGTTTCCAAAAAAGACCCTCCCTTCTCCCTCCTTGTCTTGGGCTAGTGGTCAGTGACTAGACTCCCTGAGATTAGCGTGTGCATAATGACTGTCGTGCTCAGTGGCTGTGCTAATCTCTGTGTGCTGGCAAGGCAGCCAGAGTTGAGAGGGACTGACGTGGGTATCACTAAATGTGTTCCAGGCCCACTTGCCATTTGCAGTGATCGGGAGCACGGAGGAGCTGAAAATAGGAAACAAAATGATGAAAGCTCGTCAGTACCCCTGGGGCACTGTGCAAGGTGAGTTGAGCCCTGGGATTTTCATGGCATGAATGGTGACACTTCTGCCAGGAGGCAGTGGGCACTCGTAAGAGGAACAAGGCTCTGCTGGACTTTTAATGTGTCTCTAGGAATTATCCTTCATTTAAATCCTTGTGTCAGGCCTGTAGTGACAGTTTTCTCTGCTCAGAAGGGCTGTTACCCTATTGGAGGAGTAGACAGGTGGGAAAAGACCTTTGTTTCTGCCCCCATCTTATCCTTATGTCTTCTTACAGTGGAGAATGAAGCTCACTGTGATTTTGTGAAGCTGCGGGAGATGCTGATCCGTGTAAATATGGAAGACCTTCGTGAACAAACCCACACACGCCACTATGAGCTGTACCGACGATGCAAGCTGGAAGAGATGGGTTTTAAGGACACTGATCCAGACAGCAAACCCTTCAGGTAGGATCCTTGAGGAGACAGGAGAGCTTGAGAGAAGCATTGTTGGATGCACCGCATGTGTGTGTATGCGTGACCTTGAGAGAGCATGTAAAGAACCAGTGCAGCAAGAATACCTGCCAGGTCAGATAAATTCAGACTTCAGCAAAGGTGCTGGCTGAATGAGAGGTGAAAACCCAGAGAGCGTGTTCAGGATTGACTCTGAAACTGCAGGTATAGAAATGTCTGTGCTGTAGGGATACAGCAGTGTCCCCCTGAACTAGCATTTGTTGCCAGTTGGCCTCTTTGAATTGCCCAGCATTCAACAAACAGAAAAGGGCAGTAGCTTACAGACCTCAGAAAAAGTTGGATAAAGGTGGCCTCAGGCACATGTGGGTGGGTGAGTAGCAGATGTGCTGTGGACAAGCAGTATTCACGGTAAGGGCCTGATTTCAGAGTCTCAGAGGAAGCCGTGTTTGTCCCAAGTCACGTCACTGGACTTCCCTTTCTTTTTAGCTTACAAGAAACTTATGAAGCCAAAAGAAACGAGTTTCTGGGAGAACTGCAGAAAAAGGAAGAGGCAATGAGGCAAATGTTTGTCCAGAGGGTCAAGGAAAAAGAAGCGGAGCTGAAGGAGGCTGAAAAAGAGGTGAAGACTGCACTACTTGTCTCTTCATGGTTATGAGTGATAGATTTACTCCCAGGCAGTTAGCTGCTGCCAAAGTATTTTCTGCAGAGTGTGGTTTAGGACTTCCTTACCAAGAAGTCTAAAGTTCAGCTTGGGATCATGGGACATTAAGGTGTTCATCCTGTAGGACAAAACTAGATCACAGTGCTTGTAGTGTACAACTCACTGCGCCATGAAAGTGCATAGTCTTGATTCTGATGGAGAGTGGCAGTGTGGCAAAATTCAAGGAGAGAAACAGCTCCAGATACAAACTTCTTATATAAAAAAATACACTGAGCATTGTGAAAAATCCATTAATTTACTAGCCTTTATGAAGTGGAATAAGGCCCCTGGAAATGGATTAAATATTTTTTTACCATTATACTCTCCCAATCCTCCATTAGTCTGTGCAGTGGTGCATCACTAGAACACTGCCTAGTCTGTAAGCTGTTGTGGAAGGAGATTTTTCCCTGCCCTTTTTCTAAGCAATGTCAGCTCAGGGGGCTAGAAACAATGTAGAGACCAGCGGAGCCTTGCAGGTTCAGGTCTCACGGAATCCTTCCATCTTTCTCTTTTCCTGTGAAGAGAATATCTGGTAGTGCTGGGTTGTGCTCACCTCTCTCCTTTTCCTCCAGCTGCACGAAAAGTTTGATCGCCTGAAAAAGTTACATCAGGATGAAAAAAAGAAGCTAGAGGATAAGAAAAAGTCTCTGGATGATGAAGTAAATGCATTTAAACAAAGGAAGACAGCAGCTGAATTGCTCCAATCTCAGGCTCAGCAGGCTGGAGGATCTCAAACTCTTAAAAGAGATAAGGAAAGGAAAAAGTAAGTTGGTAACCTGTGGTATTTGCTTTTGGGAATGATTCTCCTTTACTATTTTTCTGGGTGTCTCTGTTTCCCAACCTAGCCAGTCCTTATCAAAGGAAGGTTTGCAGACAGATTTAGTCCCTGGTGAGGCTGAGCAGTAGCTGGAAGCATTTTACTTTTAGCTGTCATCCTGAAGAGTAGGGAGCAGTGCTGACCTCCCCCTTTGCTTGCTGACAGCATGTGAGAGGATTAACTTGTTTTTATTCCCCAAGATTTCAAGGCTCCTCCCTTGGTCTGACAGTGCTTGTAATGAAGTGGAACAATATTGGCTGCCAAGGATAGGGTGTGGATAGTAGGGATTTCCTGCTATCCTCAGAGAGGAGTGTTTCCTGTCTCAGGGTCTTATTTGTTTAGGATGGGAGAAAGGTTATACTGTGGAAATTATGAGGGCAACTAATAGTCTTGAATTCTGGAATCTCCAAAATGAGGGGGCAGGTCATAACTCCTTGTTAGTGCTCGTACTCTTCTCCAGCCCTAAAGCGGCTTTTTGCCCTCCACAGAAACAATGAGAGATGTTGCATGGCTTTAGCAGGAGATCCCCATGCCAGGGACTGGTGTGACAGTATCCAGCCCCTCGTCAGGGTCCTGTGATCTGTGCTGTCTGCAGTGCCCATGCCAGGCTCCTAATGCTCTTCAGTTGCTCAGGAGTACAGGTGAAACAGTTCTCCCAGTTCACACAGCAATGAGCAGTTCCTTCTCACTGTGGTATGTTTCCCAAAATGGAGTGCTGTGCCACCTTAGCATGTGTGCAAAGAGCAGTGCACAGATAAAGAAGGGTTTGGTTTCTGTACCACTGCCATAATCCCCTCTCTGCACATCCCTGAGGCAAATCCAGAATACGTTTTGCCTGCACAGCATGGTCTTAAGTACATGGAGAAGTGCTGTTAATATGAACAGTATGGCACATGCCCAGAAAGTTTGTCAGGGAAAATATCTCTTGGCCGTTAAGCCTGGAATCAAACAAGACAGGAGAGGAAAAACCCAATAACCAGAATGAGATCCTGGTTTAGTCTTTCCAGTTTTGAGCTGGAGCTGCTTCAATGTCAACATTCTTTTGTGATGAGCAATTAGTGCTGCCCTTTTCTCACTTGTCTGTTCCTTTTTCCACTGTGGATTTTGATTTGCTCTTTTGAATTACCTTCAGGGGATTTTACTATCTTTTCATACTGGGAGCTTGGACTGTGTAAGGAATACACAACTTAAGTCAGTCAGGGTAAGGAATGCAGAAAAGGGAGATGACATGCCCTGTAGTGTAAGCAATCAGTCACTGCGCCCAAGTCACACTCTTGTTCCCAGAAGCAGTTCTGATTCTGGAGTAGCTCCTTGACACCAAGCACATTCACATGGTACCATCTGTGTCAGTTTAGGATTCTGAAAAGCCAGAAAATGCCATGAAAGAGATAGGTCAGTGCTTGAGTAAGGCTTGGTATTAGGGGGCTTCTCTCTCCTCCAGGAAAATAGCTGTCAGAAATAGTGCTGTTCTCTGTACTCTGTAGCTTCTTCATTTGTCCTTAATAATTCACTTCAGTATTTAGATCATAAATATCTCTAACAATCCATAAATTTCACAAGCTGTAGCTTAATTTTATCTTGTTTACTAGTAGCTGGCAGTACACTGGCCTTTTTCTTTCACAGGTGACTCTTCTAAACCCAAGCTACCCAAGCTCTATAATTTGCACTAATCATGACTTAGTTTCTTTTGTTTGTTTGTTACATCATTATCATCATGATTAGCTCTTACACATATGCTGTTTTACAGTTAGCTGCTGTTTGGCTGCATGGTGCATGAGGCACATTGTTCTGGTAAGCGTCATTAACTAATATAGACCTCACAATGGGATCAGTTGCAGTTCCTAAAAAAGCAGACCCTGTGCAAGTCCAGAAGCCTATAATGTTATCTGTGCCTTCCTCTGCTTGCACGCTTACTATAAGTGCTCTACCAGTCTCTCTCTACATAATGCCGTTGTGGAAAAAGGTTGCAGTGAAGTTTGTCTGTAAAGATTCTGCAAAGTAAAATGCAGAGAGATGAAGTATTAGGGCATGAAACACAGGGAAAAAAAAGGATTAGATCCTCTTCCTTTTAAACCATCCCAGCACTTTGTTGGCTCTGTTTTATATATTCAATCTCCCTTACAAATAAATGATATTTTTTAATCCCATAGGCCATGTTGATGCTATGGCAACAATTGCTATGGAGATGTGGTGCTGATGACAGAACCCAACTAGCCATGAAAATGTTTTTCCCTTTTCCTTCCCTCCCACCCCTTCAAGCTAGAGTATTAACTTGTGGTTACAGTGCAAGACTAGTTTCTATCCTCCCCTCCACATGCTAACAAATGGTAAAATCTGACATACCTAAAGCTTTTCTTTGTCCTATAGCACCAGAGAATCACCAAACTGTGTGTGTGTGTGAGTGTGTGTGTGAGTATGTATGTATGAAGGGGCATTAAAGAAGCTACTGCCGAGTAACCAAACCAATATTCACTTGCTGACCAATTATAGTTGATTGTCCAAAACCATGAGAGATGATGGGCTGAGCATTTAGCAGATAATGAAAGCTCTGAAGATAAACTGAGAGACTTTTTTAACAGTCAGATTGGTAACTCATGGACTGGACATTCAATTGTATTGGACAGACATAGATCTATGCCAAGAGTGCCCATGGCTAGGGTGAGGCTAGTAGTAGATGAGGGCTGTATAAGGATATAAGGCCACCTGAAAGGGTTAAAAAGCCTGGCCACAAGCAAGTGTCTGCAGTACAAAGTGCCAGCATCCATTGTAAAATGAAAGTTCATTTAAACTAAGATGTGTAAGAAATGCACCTGCCTGGCAGGAGAACAGCATCCTCATTAGGGTTATTAGTTCAACTGCTAATGACAGTGGTCTACTTACAACTAGGTTGGGTGTGTTTAATTGTTTTTAATTTGCTGTTGATTCTCTGGTGAGAGGAAAAAGAAAGCTCTCACAGGAATGTCTTGCTTCTACTAACCAAGGCAAGGGTAACAGCACACCCAAGCTGAGGTGCGCAGGTCTCTCAGAGAAGGAACATGTTGGAACAGCAGCACTTAACTATAAAACACCCTGAAAACTCAGCCTCAAGTCCACCCTTCCCTGCAGACAAAACCAGGATTTACATTCTCTCCAGGACATGGTCCAAACTAACTTACGCTCTGCCCTTTAATAGGGAAAAGCCAATTCCAGGACTCCTTCCCTCTTTGCCCTACCAAGGGAAATGGAAAAGCAAGTAAACATTACGCTGTCAGTGAGAGGCATTTGAATTTAATTTCAATGGGATGTTCCACTTAACAGAAGAGCTTCAGAAGGGTCTTGCACGGGCTCGAACTGGAGCTTACAGTTGTCTTGAGCAGTCTGGTTGAATGAATGTCTCTGCTGCCAACGGTAACTGTAAAACAATGAAAAGAACAATCCTCTGCTTATCAGGCTCTGAATGTGGAAAAATAAGCTCAAAGAATAACAGTGTTCATTCTGGTGCTGGGTATGAAGGCACAGCTAAAGTGCAATTAGAGTGAACATTACTGATTTTTGTTGGGTTTGGATTGCTTTTGGCAGTCCTCAGAACTGTACACTATTGTGTGCTGGGCTTTAAATCAAATGAAGTTCTTTGTTCCTACTATACAAATGCAGACAGTGCCTTTTTCAATGGGTGTTTGTCATCGCTAAATTAAATATGTATATATGGTACTTTTCCAGCATTCAGAAAAATACTCTCCATATTGATCCATAAAGTATTGCAGGGCTCCACTGTTTTGCAAGGATACAAACAGGGCACAGTTGATGAGTCCTGTAGCATGCAAAACTGTGAAAGGATTGTTTTAGAAGATAAATTTGGTTCATCCCATTGTTGAGTGTGTGTGCATGTGTGTGTCTGCATAAAGCATGTTTTGTAATCAAATTAAACCTTACTAACACTTAGCAACATTTCTTTTTTGTGTGTTTGTGTGTTAGGAAACATTTATATTCTTGTTTTGTTTGTGGTTTTTGTTTGTTGGTGGGGTTGTTTTTGTCATTAATCCATAAAACCATTAATCTGCCTTTTTCTTTCGTTTTCAGTTCGGGTTTCCTGTAGATCCTTTCCCTTCACACCAGAAGCGAATGCCCCCACATTTGGTTAACACGCAGCTATGCCATTGTGCCTGTTTGCTCACCTTTACTCATTGCTCCCTTCCTGCGCTCACCATTTTGTTTTAAGCAAAAGTCCACACCCTTGGCTGTTGTGGGTTATGGTTGTTCTTGTGAAGAACTCAGCAACAGCCTACGTGGAACTGGCAAGAGATGCTCACTGCTGACACCTGCTCCCTTTGGGCAGCAGCAGGCTCACAGAGCTGGTGTCCCCTCTTTTCATTGCTCAGCTCTTTGCCTCTCCTCCTCCATGTGCAAGAGCTGCATGGCAGCAGAGCGTGGCTGCTTGGTGCTGGGCGTTCAGCACCTCCGGGGACTGATGCTGCCATGGGCTGGGACATGCTGTCTCCAGAGACTGGCTGCCCTCTCCCCTTATTAATTTGCCTCATTAACGCCTCATTACCCCCTGCACTGCCTTGTGTGACTCAGTTTTAAAGGACTTTTTGACATCCTCACAAGCGGGGGCCTGAGTCCCAACCTCTAGTCCCCAACCTTGAGGGAATCTCAAACTTGGATCCACGGTCTGCAACTAAGTGTTCTCTGAATGCTGCAGGGGTCACGAAGGATCTCTTGCCTTGTCTCCCTCTCAGTGTGCTGGCCTGGATGCACATCCTGGATCCAATCTCAGGGAAAGCTGGTCACCTTGCTGTACATACCAGTGTTGGTGAAGAAAGACGATGACGTTTGACTTTCTTCTCAGTGTTTCCAACCATTTCTGGTTTTAATGCAAAAATTACTACCTTTTTTTTTATTTGGCATCTGTTTAGAAGTGTACAGGTGCTGGCAGGTTGCTTCTCTTATTTTCTATTCAGCAAAAGCCTTGTTTTACTGCAAGATTTGCACTAAAAAGTAGGGTGTTTTGCTCACTGGGGCCAGGAGTCCACTCTGGCCAAGTGCAACTATGGTTTGCCTGCAGGTGTCTTCACTGTGTATTTCTGGATGAGTTTTGTTTTTGAATAAAGACTTCAGACAGTGAATTCTGGTTAACATTTACTTCTTTTGTTTTTTGTTTTCTTTGCCCTTCTTTTACAGTAACCCATGGCTCTGTACTGAGTAATTACCCCTGAATACAATGGGCTGGAATGGACCTTCATTTACTTGTTAAATCGGAGGGTCTAATAAAACGTGACAGCATTTCAGCTGTGACCTTTCCATGGTGTTACCCTTGCTCTCTCCTATATCCTCATTGTGATTTTGGCTTTGCTATGTACTGGTGGTTATTGCTTTTATTAAACAATGTAAAATTAGTCCTAAAGAGGCTTAGGATGCTGCAGCTTTAAATCTTACTATTTTTTTTTTCCCCTACAATTAATGGATTCCCCTTTCTCCTGGTCCCTCTCCTCCCAGATAGATAAGGGATGTCAAAATAAGTTCTGTGAGTTATTTTTGCTGGCAAAATAACAGCACAGATTAAATTTATTTATTGGTGACATTAAATAACACCACTTTAGTTTAATTATCCCATAGTTGAGGGATAAAAAACTCTTTTCTCCTTATACTTGGTGTCATTCTCATGACATCATCTGTCTGTTTTAATTTGCTTTTATTTTTTCTTTTGCTAATTCATGCTACCTGAATTACCAGCATGTAATCCTCATTTCCACTTCAGACTTGCTCCTTGTGCACTGTGTGCAGGCTGAGTTCGCTGTAAGTGGGTGAACCCACATGTCCCAACCCTGCTGAAAGATCAGGCCGCGTGTTGCCAAATAGCTTCAACAAAATCCCTTAAACCCAAGGTTTTCAGACGACAGGCACACATCTGACCCAGCTGGGATAGGTAATGCTGGGTTTAGTGCTGAGCATTTCACTAGAAGGGTGGTCTGAGGGCTGCGGAAGCCTCGTGAACAGTGTCCGTACAGCACATGAGTCCAGCTGGCTGTGCACAGCAGCAGCAGCACACCATGTGCAGGAACCCAGAACCAGCAATGGTCTGTCATGCGCAGCAGTCAGGCAGTTAAAACTCCTGATTGCAGTGTATTTTCTCAGGTATTCTGTTGCACCATTGATACAGTTTTATTTCCCGTAAGTCTTTGATGGTTTGGGGTTTGGTTTGGTTTTTCAAAGCAAGTTAAAATCATTTGAATATTTACTTCTTCCTGTATTGCTGACTGTTGGCCTGATCCCCAAACCAATCCATATCAGTCTGTCAGTGATTTGAGCAACCTGCTCTAGTGGAAGGTGTCCCTGCCTGTGGCAGGGGGTTGGAACTGGGTGATCTTTAAGGTCCCTTCCAACCCAAACCATTCTATGATTTCTAGATTGCCTGCTAAAAGAACCATTTAATGGGGGGGGGGGGGGGGGGGGTTAAACCTTACTGCAGGCCACTGGCTGTTCTTCCTGACCATCTGTGTGATTAGAATGTTTAAAGTTTTGTAAAGTCTTCTTAGAGACTTTAATGAAAAAAAGGTTTTTACTTGTGTGATTTCCGTGAAGTATCAGAGGTACCACAGGGAGGTGCCATCTCTCCTCTGTCAGCTCTTTCCGTGTTGCATCTCTCTCTCCTGCTTTTTGAATGCCTTTCTCTTTTTGCTAATCCTCTTTTTTTTTCTCTTTTTTCCCCTTTTCTCTCTCTGTAGCTTTTTTTAATCTGTTTTCGCCAGCTGCACTGGGTCTGAGGGAGAAGACTGCCACTTCTAGAAGAGTTTAAGGGTCTTACACCTGGGGAGGGGGGGAACAAATCTTCAGTGTTAGTGTCTCGGAAAGAAGCTCTTTTACTGACTTGCATGATACCTAAAATTGAAGTGTCTTGTAATCTGTGTGACAAGACAGGGTAGTACGGGGAGCTGGTTGTTTACTTGGGAGTTTGAAGAGCAGCAGAAATGGGAGGTTGGGACTAACGATGTAGCGAATACATTTTCAAACGTTGTTATGGGCTTATTTTTTTTCTAGTTCTGTCTTTAATAATACAAATGTCGCGGGCTTCCATGGGGGGCGAAGCCTGAGGAGTATTTTCAATATGCTGTTGTTTGATTGGTTTGGGGAACTGTGCATTAGGGTCGCGGGTGCGATTTGCTCTGTTGGCAGCCACGAAATATTTAATTTTAACAAAGAAATAAAGTAAGAAGAACTCTGTGTTGTCGTTGGTGTCCTCCTGTGTCTCAGCACGTTAAACAGGCTCCCTCGGCCAGTGGACATGGGTCCAGTGGTACTCGGTTTTTGTTTTCCTGACTAAACCTCCTCTTGTTGTTAGAAGAGAGGAGATGAGGGCGAGGCGATGCAGGGGGCTGGTGCGTTAGCACTGCTGAGCCATCCGTACCCCGGAGCGTGCTGGGGCCGGCCTCGCACGGGTACTGCCTCATCCGCATGTGTTCCTGCCGCGTTCATCTCCGTTCCACACGTGGCAGCGTGCAGGAGCTGCGCCAGCTTCCGTGTTCACACAGCAAGCACTGCAGAGCGGGCGGTGTTTCGCCTCGCACCTTTCTAGCTTCACAGTTAAATAAAGCACCGGGACAGCCAGCCGGCGTGCTGCCGTGTGTGCTGCCGGACCCGGCTGAACGCACCGGCACAGCGAGCTGAGCCTGTAGCTCTGTGCGGCCACCGGGAACCAAAACGCAGCCTGACGCTGGGGTCAGCAAAGGTCATGGGGAGCCTTGGCCTCGTTGAGGCAGGTGAAAGACCTCAGGCTCCTCCGATCCGGTACCCGGTGGGGAGGAGCTGCTGGGGTGGGGGTGTCCGCTGGGGCTGGCCGGGCCGGCGGGAGCTTGCGGGCCGGCGTCCCCGGAGGCCTCTGCCGGCGCCCAGGCCCAGCTGCGCTGCGCCCGCGGCTGTCGCCAGGGGTCGCGCTAGAGCCGCGGCGCTGTCCGGCAGCGGCGGCCGTTTCTCGCGGCGTCTCGCGAGCTCCTGACGGGCGGGCACGTGACGCGACGCCGGCAGGGCCGCTCTGCCGCGTTCGGCGCGACTGAGGTGGGGGGGGGCTCCCGCTGCACCGGAACGGGCGGGGCCGCTGCGGCCGGGCCGGGCGGAGCGGGGCGGGGCCGGGGGGCTGAGTCCGGGCCGGGCTGGGGCTCCCCGGTAACACGTAAGAAGGCGCGGCCTGGTCCGCACGTGGGGCCTGGTCCGCTCTGGCGCGCCTGGGCTGTTGCGGTGCCCACCGGCGGGTACGGCCCCTCTCCAGTTATGGCGCCGCCGGAGCCGGAGAGCGTGCCCGAGGCGGTGCTGGAGCAGTGGCGGCAGTACAACGAGACCGAGCGGCAGTGGGAGCTGCGCCGCCGCTTCATCCTCCGCCACCTCAGCGGCTATCCCGGCGCGGCCATCGACCAGCTGCTGTCGCTCTCCGTGCTCTGGACCAACCACATCTTCATGGGCTGCAGGTGAGGCGGGGTGCGGCGGGGCTGAGGCCGGGGCCTGTTGCCGCGGTCAGGCGGGGGTGCTCCGGCCTGTCAGGGGGTCCCGGACACCGCGGGCTGCTGGAGGAGTTGGGGGAGAAGCTGGAAGCTGCCGGACGGAGGAGGGCCTGGCGGGGAGGAGGGGCTGCGGCGGTGCCGGTGCTGCTGGGCTGAGCGTCGGCCCAACTGTATCCAAAAGTAACCGCGGGAGAGCCGGGGCCGGAGAACTTCGGTTCCTGGGCAGTTGTCTTTGCTCCAATATGTGTTTGAACGCAGGGGGGAGCGAGCTGCCGACAAAGTATATGTGCTTTGAGAGTAGTTCTTGGTGTTCCAGCCCTGGGACAATACCGTCTGGCATTGCGCTTTGTAATTCAAGCTAGGAAAAAAAGCATCCCTGTAAGCATGAAGCAGCCTGAAGAGTCCTCTGAGAGCTCAGGTTTTCTGAGGGAAGCAGGCTGCGGGAAGGAAGAGGTTTCACTCGTTCAGGATCACTGTTGACACACAGGAATCGCTATACCGTAACCAGCAGCAGCGGGAGCGTCACCGCGTCCTGACTGACACTTCTGATGGGTGATTATTTTTAACCAGACGTAAGGCTTTAAAGACAGAAGCAACTGCTGAGCCGCCAACTTCAGCAGCGCAAGGGCAGCAGGGCCTGTAACCACTGAAGGGCAAATAGTTTGGCGGTTGTTAATGTTACTATCCCGAAGCTATTTTGGGGAATGTTTTATTGTATAGAGCCAAAGCAACATGTTCGAGTGCAGCTCAGCATGTTTTCTTAGCTCTTTCTGGTCCAAGTGCTAAACCGTTCTGCTCTGCAAGCACCAGCATTGAACATAGTTTTGAAACAGCTTCAAATTCCTGAGTCTGAGTAGTATGTTAAAGTTGAGCATGTCTTCTCTTTGGTCCATTAGCTCATCTTAATGTGTTTATGTGCTGACTTAATGGAGGGTCTTCTTCGTGAGAGTGCTTTGAGGAGCCAGTGCGATAACGTAGTTACAGGGTGCTGATAGCAGAAGTGAGGAGCTGCATGGCAAGATCTCAAGTCCTTAAAAAATGATGCAGTTAAAGCCTGTTTGTGCACGCACTTTCCCTGATTGAACGTCTCTGCGGGAGCTCTTAGGGGAGACTTGAGTGGTAGATGTAGGCATAATGTGGTCCAGAGCTGGGATGGGGAGGATGTTCCCCCAAAGCTTGTGTTGTGCATGAGTGTGGACACACGACACGGGCACAGTGAATGTGCTGCACTGTTGAAAAGCATTGGCGGCTTTACTGAGAGCTCCCTGGGGAAGGGTGGGGACCCGCAGCTCTCTCTGGAACTGCCTTTTGCTGCTGGGGAAGAGCTGCTGTTGCTGTGTCAAGTTAACAGCTTCAAAGCTTGTGGGGTTTTTGTAGTTTTCTCTCAAGTTGTTGTTTGGGGTTTGGTTTGGTGAAGTTTTTTAAGCTTTTTGTGGGGGTTTGGTGGTGTTTTTTATGTTGACACTTGCTCGCTGAAGACAACCTGTTGTCAGGGTACATACAAATCAGAGCCTTTGCTGGTGAACTCTGAGGGAGTGTTCTGCTGGGCATGCTCTGGAGAGTGTCCAGAAGGCTTAGAAATCACAGTCTGTGAGGAAGGAGTTAAGTAACAGGATTCATTTAGTCCAGGGGTGGATGAGGGGAGATGTGTATGTTCTAAGATGTGTTAAAGGAGGGTGAGGAGGAGGAGCACTGTGCTCCAGAGCTACTGGGATCAGGATAAGAGGTAACATATTTCAGTCACACCAGTCTCTGGGTGTTGGAGGTATGGGATCCATGCCTCCATATTCAGTCTCCACAGCCAGATATTTCTAAGGCCAGGTTAGAGAGACACATGTTGGGACAGGTTGATCTCCCCTGGGCAGAAATCTGAGCTCAAAACATCTGTGTCCTTTGTGAAGAAGAGTGACACACTCATGTCAAATCTAATGCTGTTCTTGCATGCTGCTGGAAAAGGGCATTGTCCTTCATGTTCCCATCACAGGTAATGCACCCTTCTCCTTGAAAACCAGAGAAGAAAGGAAATTCCCACCCTTCTCTCCTGGCTGCAGGAGAAAGTATCACCACTGTCCGCTTCCCTTTGATCACTCTTGGCGTTTTCTTCCTGTGGACATTTCCACTGCCTCTGCTGGGGCTGAGCTGTGCTGTGTACCTGCAGGTGAAGCAGGGACCGCAGTAGCGTGTGTTCAGAGTTCTCACCCAGTAATTGAAACGGATCTGGTTTCTGCCTAGCTCTCTAAATCAGGAACAGGAGGGGCATCTCTTGAGTGGATTTCCAGAGCCCTTGGAACAGTAGTATTTAAAAACTTGTGCAAGTTATTGCAGCACTCTCTGCTGGGACAGTTGTGGGCTCCTGTCCGTGTGCTGTGACCTGATGCTTCTTGACATTTGAAGGTGAGCACACCATGAAACACACGCAAGATTGCTTTTTCTTCTTTCTGAACCGCAGTGTGAAGCTGTCAGAGGTTAGTTTCAGGTCATGTTTGTAGGTTCTCCTTAGTTAGAAAGGTTTGGGCTTTTTCTTGCTCAGCTTCAGTGTGCACATGGCTCAGAAACATACGAGAGATCCCCCCAGAGCAATGGAAAACGTGTCTGGTGGGGGATGTACAGTGTGTGTGCTGCCTGTGGAACTGCTAGCGTGCTGCAGCAGGGTCAGGGTTTATACAGAGCTCCTCACAGCCACCTCACCTCTGTCATGCTGAGGGCTTGGCGACATTTCAGTTACAGCCACAACGCTAGAAATCAGTGTGGCCTTTTAAAGAGTGGTCGATAAGGGCTGAGCAGAGCCTTTGTCATCTGCCATCCACAGTGGCAGGATTGGTGATGTGCTGTCTGACAGCTGCTGACCCCACAAAGCTTCACTTGCTCCTGTGCACTGAAACTGCGATGCCCACAGACTCCTTGTGCGCACCCCTGTCCTCCTCGGTGTTCCCAGTAGCTCTGCCAAATGGTGTATTTTGACAGGTAATGTACTGAAGTTTAAAACCCTGTCAGTTTGGTGGCTCGTTGTTCACAAATGGGCTCACTTAGAGCCAGGTGGCTTACGAGATGCTGTGCAGGCTGTGTGCCAGCACTGAGCTAGCTGTGGCACAAGGCTGGTCCTGGTCCTGTGTTAATACTCCAGCAAAATTGGGAAGTATCTCCCTTGCATCAGGTACTGTGTCTTAGGCAGCTTTCCTTCTCGTTTTGCGTAATAAAAGGTTGTGTGTGTGTCCATGTTGCCCCTGTGGGACAAGTTCTAACCACTCTGCTGTTGAATCCACACAGATACGGCATGCAGGTCATGGAGAAGGTTCTCAAGATGGCTGAAGGCATCGACATCGGGGAGATGAGAACATACGAGTTGGTTCCTAGCAGGAAGCTAAAAAGATGCCACTCTCCATCTGACAGTGAGTATATCTTATCTGCTTGTGCACTGAAGGAGACACTCTTCCCTGCCACTGTGTGATGAGCACCAGTGGGAGTGAGGGGAGAGCAGTGTGCCATGGGGCTGCCTCAAGAGAGCCGGCTCCGCAAACAGAAGGAAAGCAGCCATGATGTACTCTGCTGGACTGCAGCAGCTTCCCTCGTCTGCCATGCTGTGGGTGTAAGTAATTAAGGCAGAATTCTCTTTTTGCTTAAGAAAATACAATTTTTCATTGAAATTGCCAGGTAATTGATTTTCCCAAGTGCTAGTGTTAGGGAATCTGTGTAATGAAATATGTCTGCCCTTCTTTACTGCGGTGAGGGGTCATGTTCCAGCTGAGAAGGGGTTGTACACCTGCATGGAGATGGGAAACTCAGCTTATTGATTTTGAGTTATGACCTGCCTGGAGCACTGGGGGCAAAGGCTGGGGTTAATGTATTTTTTCCCTCTCTATGGACCTGGAAGGGTCCTGCACAGCCAGCTCGGCCCCATGGTCCCAGGGATCCATGTTCCAGCTGTAGCTTTTCCAGGGGTGGAAATGTAGCAGGCAGAGAGGGCTGCAGTTCAACTGCTGCCACTAGCTCCTCTCCAGTCCCTCGGAGCTCCCTGCCCTCTCTGGAGGGAGGGCAGAGGAACTGTTCCCGTGTGCAGGCCATGGATGTGAGTGGGCAGGCCCTGGTGTTGTGAGCAGCGTCAGGCAGTTTGGCTGTTTAAAGCCCAAATGGTTAGGCAGCACAGGCTCCTCTGGGCTTGGGTATAACCCCTGGCTCTGCCAAGGTTTCTTCCCTTGCTTTCTTTGACACTCAGCAGTCTTCCTGTGCTTCCATGGACAGGCCGCAAAACTGAGAAGAATGCTCCATGTTTGTCTGTCTGTCAGGCAGCAGCTCTGCAGGAAGGGTTCTGGATTGCACGTTGCACAGGCAGCATAAAGAGCTGTTCTCCTGCTGACAGCCTTTAGATGCTGCTGCAGTGCAATCATCTAAATACCAAACTGAGCAAGAAATGTAAACCTTGCCATAGTTCTTTAAAACTGACGAGTGAAGGACTTAACTTGTGTGTAAGAGCTCTGTCACCTGATTGAAACAGGAAGGTCTGTTTATGCTGCATCTAATGTGGGTTTTTTACCTGCAGTGAACTAGGCTGTGATAACTACACTGTGGTAGTCTGATGTCCAGACAGATGTGTTGTCTGACCTATATTGCAGTCGCACACATTGGCACTGCATTAGGCAGCTCATTCCAAGGCACTGAGGTGGCTTTTTGAACCTTGATGAAATTACATACATGTACCACTTCAGTGGCTGTGGGCCAAGTCCTTCACAGGAGAAGTCTTGTATAACCATCTTCTAGATGTAACTCACTTACCAGCTATTCCATTCTTACTTTCTGCAGTAGCTTTGCATGTCAGGGCATTCTGCCTCATTTGAATTTCATCTGGTTAAGAAACAAGAGGTTTACCAGTAATGTGTAATGGTCCCCCCCCCAGCCACTGCAGCTGTCAGCTGAGGCTGGGGCAGACTTCTCTGTGTTTGGTGTCCTTTAGCTAACAGTAGTTATAACTCCAGAAAACAGTTCTATTAACAGTCATTAAGAGCCCTGCGTGTTTTGGAAGGGAGGGTTCAGTATCACTGTGCTCCTCCGTCAAATGAGAACACCTGAAGATGAAGTAGTTTATCTGAGATCACTCCACAGCCCTGCAGAGCTGAGGCTCCTGTCCTGCTCTGGTGTTCTGTCTTACTGGCCATGGTTTTTACTTGGTGTAGTAGCTTTGAATGATGAGCTTCAGAACTGACTGGATGGGTTCAGTGGGCAATGCTGTGGGGCAGACAAAGTGATTTGGACCTAAAATCCATGTAGCTAAACGTTTTTGTACGGTAGCTTGTGGAGCTGGAAATAGCAGCATAGTGACCTGCACAAGAACATGTGGTCTTACTTGTTCAGTTGTGAATGTGTTCAGAAGGAAGCCTTTTTGTTTGTGGCTAAGAAGAGGGAATCCTGGTTTCAGAGCCTGCAGGCTCCTCCTGGAGATCACTCTCTGAAAACACTGTCTCCCTGTCACAGCATGTATTGGTAATCTTGTCGTTGTCTTCCTCCCTGTAGGTCCAGAGCTGGAAGAGGTTCCTGAGCCGCCCAAAAAGATGGCCCCCAGGTTCCGGGTGCGACCACGCTTTGAACCCATACACTTTGTTACTAGTGCTGAGAAGGATGACAGGAGGGAAGAGTCTCTGGATAACCAAATGCAGGAGGTGAACCAGGAGGCAAACACAAACAGCATAGCACAGCCAGCTGAAAACTGCACCAATTCCTTTGTGAGTGCACGGGATGTAGATCCACAGCTCTCCAACTCTGCCGGGCTTGGCTTTACAGGCCCGGCAGCAGCAGCCAAGAAGGCTGTGAATAGCATGGACTCTACCACAAACAGCACGTTGCAGGTTTCTGTTTCTCCTTCGACCGTCCAACCTGCGTCAGAGACTTTCCCTCCATCAGCTATAACGCTGAAGCAGAGTTTTATTGAGAAACTGTCAGCAGCTGTCTGGAAAAATCTTGCTAACCCAGATGCGAGCACGGGGACTGACAAAATTAACTTCACCTATCTTTTGACACGTTCAATTCAGGCCTGCAAGACAAATCCCGAATATATTTATGTTCCTCTGAAAGAAATCGCCCCCGCTGACCTCCCCAAGAGCAAGAAGCTCCTAACGGATGGCTTCGCTTGCGAGGTGCGGTGTCAGAACGTCTACCTGGCCACCGGGTACGCCGGCAGCAAAAACGGGTCCCGGGATCGAGCGGCGGAGCTGGCGGTCAAGCTGCTGAAGAAGGCTGTGGAAGTGAGAGTTGTGCAGCGGAAGTTCAAGCACACCTACCACGAAGACCTGGTGGTGTGCGAGGCAGGCGTGAGTCGCCCGGATTTCCCTCCTGCTCTCAAACCCCACGAGGAGTTTGTAGCTGCCAACAGGGACTGTGTCCCGATGCAGCCCGGTACTGAATCCATGAAAGGTTCTGCTAATACCAACAAACACTGGACTAGTTTCGTCCTCACCGAGAACGCCAGTGACGCAATAGGAATCCTTAACAATTCTGCCTCATATAACAAAATGTCTGTGGAATATAAATATGAATTAATGCCCAACCGCTCGTGGCGCTGCCAGGTGTATCTGCAGGACCACTGCCTCGCCGAGGGATTTGGCACTAAAAAGACCAGCAAGCACGCAGCCGCTGAGGAGGCACTGAAGATCCTGCAGAAGATGCAGTCAAACATAGCAGCCATCAAAGTGACCCAGGTTCAGAAGGTGGGCTGCTCATCACGGGGCTCTGGAAGGAAGAAGGACCTGAAGGACCTCGTGGTTTATGAGAACTCCAGTAACCCGGTGTGCACGCTGAATGACACTGCCCAGTTCAACAAGATGACGGTGGAGTATGTCTTTGAAAGGATGACTGGCATGCGATGGAAGTGCAAGGTGCTGCTTGAAGACGAATTCATTGCAGAAGCAGTTGGAGTGAAGAAATCTGTCAAGCATGAGGCAGCAGAGGAAGCTGTGAAAATCCTCAAAAAGACTCAGCCAACTGTTGTCAATAACCTGAAGAAAGGCACCGTCGAAGACGTCATCTCCCGAAACGAGATCCGGGGTCGGTCAGCTGAAGAGGCTTTCAAACAGAAGATCAAAGAAGACAACATTGGGAATCAAATATTAAGGAAAATGGGGTGGACAGGCGGTGGCCTGGGGAAAGCCGGGGAAGGAATTAGAGAGCCTATTTCAGTGAAGGAGCAGTTTAAAAGGGAAGGACTTGGGCTTGATGTGGAAAGGGTCAACAAAATCGCTAAAAGAGATATTGAAGAGATCATTCGGAACTATGCACGCTCAGAGAGCCACATTGACTTGACTTTCTCTAGAGAACTGACCATGGATGAGAGGAAGCAGATCCATCAGATAGCCCAAAAATATGGTCTTAAAAGTAAATCTCATGGGCAGGGGCACAACAGGTACTTGGTGGTGAGCAGGAAGCGGCGCAAGGAGGATCTGTTGGACCAGCTGAAACAGGAGGGCCAGGTTGGGCACTATGAGCTGATTATGCCACAGGCGAACTGAGGGGATGTGTCCCTTTGACTAGAGACTGAGCTGCCCGGATACTCGGTGAGAGAAAGAGATGCTGCATTTTTCCTGTCATGGGCTACATCAATGTTAAAAGTCCTTCACTTTGTTAATATCATTTCTAAAACATTGTTAGACATTTAGAACTGACCGAGTTCTGTTCCAAGTATCTTAGCACAGCCCAAAAGCAGTAGTGCTGTCACTGTATGTGTCTTTGATATTACTTGTTCCTTCACGTTTTAATAGTTTTGTAATAGCAAAACCACATGTCCAACGAGGAGGAATTTGACATCATTTAAAATTCTGGTTCCCTTCTTCTTGACCAAGGAAGTAAAAAAAAAAAAAAAAAAAAGCCCTTTTTTTAAAAAAAAATAAAAATAAAAAAGAAAATTGCAAAAAGCAAAGGAAATGCAGTCTGGGGGAATAAAGCCTGTATGTCAAGTTGGCATTAATGAAAATAAAGGTTTATTTCTGGAAAAAAAAGCCCAGGATTTGTCACACTTTGTAAAGAACAAAAATAATGTGTGAAATCTGTGTTTATTCTTGAGAAATATATACACATATATATATATATATCTGTATATACCAAGGTCTTGTCTCTGCTGTGTATGTTTGTATGGAGATGTCCTGAACCAGTTTAACCACAGTTTTAATTCATAGCTTTCTACCTTGAGTCTCCCATCCTTAGAGTGAGTTCCCAAATGCACTTTCATCAGCAGCATGTCAGACTGAGATAATCCAGGGGCATTTTTACCTTGGAGCTCTGCTTGACGTGTGCAGATGAAATACCATGTGAGGTGTGAAGCACAAGTGGAGGTAACTGCAGAGCCCACGCTCCGGGCGGCTCGTGGGCACTGTTATGCAACTGAGTTTTTTACTTTGAATATGAGCTCTTTAATCCAGAGCAAAACCAAAGCTGTGCCTGAGGATTCCTCTGCTCTGTTACTGTACCTGTGCCGGTGTGTGTCAGGGGCGAGTCACAGCTGAACTCCGGTGTAGCTCTGCCATGTGGTGCGAGCGTGGTGTCTCTCTAGGATGCAGGGGGCCGGAAAGCAGGCTGATCTCTGCCTCTACCACAGGACATGGCACTTCATGAGCTCTGGAGGACTGCTTGCTTCATGCTTGCAAAACAGAGGTTAGGCGTTGACCTTGGAAGAGCTACGAGTGAGATGCTGTTTTTTCTGTCATCAGGAGCACAAACCCAGTCCTAATGAAGTATTTTTTTGTCTGTTGCCTTGTGTCTCAGCTCTCTCTTTTGTTTTTCTGCCTCTCCCTCTTTTTACATCCTCCTCTAGCTTTTTTCCCCACCTCCTGTTTTCTCTTTGGATCCTCACAGCACAGAGGAGAGCGTGACTGACCTCCACTGATGCAGCAGAATATCCTGGTGACATGCAGTCAGAGGCACTTGCAGCCCCGCAGTGTGAGCAGGAAGCAGCTGCCCTGGCAGGTAAGCCTGTCTTGGGAAGGGCATGAGCTGCCTGGATGGCTGCAGCACAGCGTCCACTGGCTGGGACTGATGAAACAGGAACGTGCTGCTGCTGCTGCAAAATAATGTGGCAGTTAATTCTGAATGTATGTTGGGTTTTGGTGGTGTTTGGGGTATTGTGTGTGTTATTCCCTCTGTACTGCTGAATTCTCAGAACGCTGGGTTGAAGCAGATGGTGATGTAGGAGTGGTACTTTCTAGGCAGATATTCCTGCAGCAGGCAGGCGTGCTGCTCCCCCTCCCTAGCTTGGATATGCTGCAGGTCTTGTAGGCTTGGTGATACTGAGACAGCAAGAGCCCCGCTGCAAGATTTGGGATGAGAAATGCCTGTTTGGGGGAGCAGGAGCAGGCAAAATGTAACAGTTCCTCAGCAGGGGCAGCTGTCCAGGGCCTTGCTCTACCTGTTGCTGAGACTTGGCTACCCATCTTAGCACAGCTACAGAATGGTTTGGACTGGAAGGGACCTTAAAGATCATTCAGTTCCAACCCCTGTTCACTGCTGAGTGCAGTTCCATCGGCAGGACCCGCCTGTTGCTGTTCTGTCTTGTTAGTGGCTGTAGACTTGTCTGGGTGTTACTGTTGGAGCTGAACCTCTGTCGCTGATGTGTTTATAGCACTGTAAGCTTGGCAGGAGAGCCAGGACCTGCTTGAGAATTAAATTGGTGAATGAAGGCCATGCTAAAAGGGGTATAAAGGTCAGGGTTTGTTTCTTCTTGCAGCTCTGTGCTGCTTGTTTCCTCCTGCTTTAAGAGTCCCACTCCATGCTGTTTGGTGTGGTGGTTGGGTTTTCATTTGTTTTTAGTGGCTGTCAAGACAAATACAAAACTGGAGGTGCTGATACGGGGGCTTCTGCACCATGAGGACTTGGGCCATTCAGAAAGGTTTTGCTGGCAATAGCATGCAGGAATCCTTCTGGCTAGGCCAGGGGCCATGGTTAAGGGACGTGTGGTTGGCTTCAGTCACCCCTGTTGGTGCAAGTAGGGGTTGGGTTGGTGTTTTGGGGTGGTTTTTGCACTGTTCTATAACCTGGTGTAACAAAGGGCTTTGCTGCTTGACTGGCTCTGCCTTAGGGAAGTTTTGCACAGGGACTGCTTAAAAAAAACACTTACTTGAAGTAGATTCATTCCATACACACCTGATGCAGCTGTGATGACAGTTAAGACACTGTCCATTAGGAGGAGTATGTGTACCTCAGGTACTTCAATGGCAAAAGGCTGTTCAGTGGAATGAGCTGTGTCACAGCAGGTACAAATAATCCTCACTTCCCTTTTTGAAAGAACCTGGCAGCTTCTATCTTAATTGCAGAGCAAAGCAGCACCAGTTTTTGGTATGTGTCAGTCATTTTAAATCCTGTTCTCCCCCTTGTAAGATGGGAGGAAAGTATGATTCCTGTATCCGTTCATTATTGAGCCTGTTCAGTTGCTGAAACCAACTCATGATCATCTTTGTCAATGGCTCATTCACAGGCATTGAGCTTCCTGCAAGTGTTTTTTATGCTGCGGCTGGCGTTTGCTCATTTCCGTGCTGGAAGGGCAAGTCCCAATCCCTGCACTAGAGCTGGCACAGCGCTCATCGCACTGCTGCTCCTCAGCCCTGCCCTAAGGGTCTACCCTGGAGCTCAGTCCCGCAGCAGCCTCCTACAGCCCCATTAAAAGAACCACAGCTATACACCTCTTGCCTATTTATACAATAAGCACTAAGGTTACACTTTATTTACAACTTTTGAAAAATGTACAGTTTCTTACATGGGTTACTTGTGCAAAGTTGTACTTCTCAACTAACAGACCAATGTGCACACAAAGGACACGGGAACAGTGGACAACACAGTTGTAAGCTCCGTCCCACCCTGCTGCTTAAGGTACTGTATCCAAACGTACAAACTCAGCCCTACCAAAAAAGTGAGTCTGGACTTACAAATGTTGGTTTGTTGTTTGGTTTTTTTTTTCAGAGTTGAAAAAATACTTCCATGAAACTGAAGGGAAACTCAAGCATGCAGCAGCAGCTCACACAAACCACAATCATCTATGAAGAGCAGAAACTGCAGAGACTCAAGTGCCCACCCGTACTTTATTCACACTTTCCACAAGGCAAAGTTGGCTCCCCAAGGACTTGTCTTTCTCAGCTAAAGGTAAGGGACAGGTGAAAGACACTTGAGGGAGTAATTCCACTGCTGGAATACTTCAGGTTTTATCTCTTCCTTAATGTGGAAGGTCTTTCTCTCAGAGTACCACAGCTCTACCTGGGCTTGTCCAGTAATGCCTCAGTGACAGGACTATAGAAATTAGTGAAGCGCTCGCTGTAGGCATGTCCTTTAAAATAAAAAGGGGGGGGTGTTTGTCACCCTAAGCAAAGGTCAGAGTACCACAGCTGTAGTGATTTATGTATACTTGTACATAAATCCTGCGTGTGAAGTGCAGAAGTAACTAGCAGTCCACAGCCTAAGTATTTGAATTGAAATCAATTTGTTTGGGTTTTGTTTTTTACCACGAGTAAGGAGTTGAAACCAATACAGAAGGGAAACGAGGTTATTTCTTCACTCTGTACGTACAAATACAGTGGGGTCTAAACCAGTAGTAGAGGTAAATGACCAGCCTGGACACATCAGCACTTTAGTTAATACCAGTTAAAAAATGTGTATGTATATAAACATCCCTTTATCAAGCTACACATAAGCATCACTGTGTATAACACAATTACAATTAAAAGCTTAGTGTACACTACAGAAATGCACAATACTGCCCTAAGACTGGAGAGGGGGCACAGGAAATGGATTCAGCATCAGTAACTCTTTTGCAAGTAACCCAAGTACAGAACACTTGACTTCAAAGTGGGTGTTTTCTGATGTCCAAGGAGAAGAAGCTTCAGCAAGGGAGGGTGGCAACAGCACAACAGCTATTCTGCTTTCAAAGTAAATGCTAGGAGGAAAAAGATGACTCAGACACTTTGTTTATTTTCCTCATCAACAGAGTGTTCATTTGCATCATCCTGGGTCAACAGTCACGCCAGCTCTGTTCTACTATTGCAGAAACCCGTTTTTCATATTCCCGCTTATTCTCTTGGTATAGCTGAGCTGCCTGGCTGTTTGCTGGGCTGTTGGGGTTTGGCTCGTCCAATAGAGACTGCGCAAAGAGAAAGAGATTCTTAGGCACTGGAGAGTATGCATGGTTTTCCAACATACTCCATAAAACTATCCATACTGATAAGAGTGCAGAGGTTAATTACATACAGTCATGCACATGGCATTATTCCAGCTGTAAGTTACTGGAAGCATTTGCTGTCACTCTTACAGCAGTGCAGGTGCCACTGCAACTTGACAGCCAAGCAGCAATACCCAAGCAATGTGATCACAGGACAGGCCCCTTCAGTGACCACCTGCTGTCACTGTTAGCTTATACCTGGGAAGTACTCATACCTTAGCACATATCAAGGTATAGATGCTATACTGGCTAGCAGGAGGCAAAACAAAGTGTTTCCTGAGCTGTTTTTGTCAAAGCATCCTAATTTCATTCTGCCTTTTCATGCAGGGTTCATTTTACCTGTATGGATGTTAAGATGGAAGAGACATCATAAGTAGGACTCCAACGATTCTGAAGAATATCCAGACATATACTACCATCTGCATAGACTAGAAAAGGTTCAAGAAGAATGGCTTAACACAGAAGTTGTACAGCACTCAGTTTGTCCTAGTATTGCCTGCTCCTGAAAAACCTGTGTACTGACAAACACTACAATAGCATCTGACAGCAAACAAGCCTGTAGGAAGGAACAGGTGAAGCTCATCACCAACAGCTGCCTGTGGTATTTAAACTCAACCCCTGCTTTTTCTTTAGCATCAAGCTTCTCTGTGACATTGCAACTGCCATTAATAGATTTTAAGACAAAAAAAAATTAAGCTACCCACAAGTGAACCAAATAAAGAACACAAGCCAAGAGCTGTTTATAGGTAAGGCTTCCCCAGAAAGTATCTCCAACAGTCAGGGACTTGTATTCTAAAGCTCACAGCAGCTTTAGAAGAACCTTCCCTCAGGGCACTTCACTTACCCTGCTACATTTGAAAGTTTCTAGTATTCCTTCACAAAGCTAGTACTTGGAGACAAGGAATATAGCTACAACTTTTAATTACCAGAGAAGGGGGTTAATTAAATGATCTGTCACTCCCTGTAGCTGGTAACCAGCACCACATTTTGAGGTATGTCATTCTTACTGGCATTTTGGAGAAGTGATAAAAGACAACTGCAGTCAACAGCATCAAACATTCAGTGTCCATACATACTGCTGTATATACAGTACATACGAATAGAATACCAAGGCACTGCTCTTTAAGAATATATTATACTTAAACCTATACTATAAGGTTTAACAACAGGCAGTTGAGAGAGAAGTGTCTTGATACTGTGCTGTAATACCTGAAAGGTCAGAGGCTCTATTTATTGCCCTTTTCATGTCAAGCCTGATCACTGCTCACGTATTCATCCTTACTAAACCTACACAGAACCACACTGGAATGTTGCTTACTTACTAAACAGTGGAAACTTTGATAATAAATAGACCTTTTTCTACAACACTATAAAAAGCTAGAACTTGAAAATAAGCAGTATTGTGTAAGTACTTACCATTTGGATGAAACATTTTAGAGACAAATCTAACAGTGGGTGGCTTATTCGGATATTCTTCTGTGAATTCTATTGTAAGTTTGAAAGTTCCTGGAGTTGAAAGAGAGATAAGTAACCTTTACTCAGAATGAATTTACACAAGGGATGAATAAGTAGCATCCCTCTACAAGCACAAACTGGTGCTATTGTGCTGGTATGTACATGCTGGAGAGGGAATACAGATTGCTCAGTCCTACAACAATTCTCCTACTCTCTTTGGAGTTAATCATTGACTTCAGCCAACACTGGTACAAGAGTATCTCCTGTGAATTACTTTTATTGCCAAACCCACTACCCCAGTCAAAGGGTTTGTGTTAGGAAATAAATCTTCCCTTTAGTTTTCCTTTCACAAAGCCTAATCTCAGCGCACTGTAAAAACAGCACAAGTGGGTGTATAACCATCTGTGCAACAGGCTATGATTTAGTAAGTCCTAGAGGTGGGAATATGCATCATGACAAGGACCTGCTTAGTTATTTCCTGTTTCAATTTCAAGAAAATACATTTTTATCAACAACTGTAAGTAATCACATCCTATTGCAGAAAAGTAATATTGAAAGCAGCATCCAAATGAGACACTTGAAAACCCTGATTAGTTATTTCAGACTAACTAGTCTTCATCCGAGAAAGACTGAGAAAGCTCTGCAATTAACCCAATCGCTTTACCAGCCTGCACCAACACAAGTGATTTTAGCCCTTCTCAGGCTGTGACAGTCTGAGAATAAGAAGTCTGTCTATTAAATTTGCATAAATGTGGTTCCAAGGGACTGAGCACTGCTAGTGAGTCAGAGCAGTAACTGAGGACCTCTAGACACTCCAAGCTGCTCTTGCCATGCTATCACCTCAGCAACCCATCTGGGAGGCGGTTTATGGGTACACTCAGACAGATCCATCCATCGGAAGCACCTTCATATCAAAATACAGCTCTCCTGTAAGAGGAACATGCCTTACAGTAACAACTGGAACAACCTGCCAGGGCAGACACATTACCTTTTCTGAAAGGGCATCCTCATGTATCTGTGACAGGTCCATCCCCCCCAACACTCACTGCCCAAATTAAAACTCAGGGGCTCAGATGTAAAGCTCAAACTTGCTTCCTACTGTGAGGAAGCTTTCCAGCACTAATATCATTAATGTATTCCTTCGTTTGGCTGACAAACATGTGCCAACAACTGGTAGCCAGAGAACAGAATTTTCAGTCCCTTTCCTTTTTCCAGATCAGGGGGGACCTGCGGGATTTCCCAGGGACTCCTTCCTTTATAAGGAGATAAATTGTAACATCGAGTTGCAATAAATGAAGGTCATTGCTTTGACATTCCAGTTTGCATATGAAGACACAGTACAGATGCTTCAGAGCTATCTGTACAGCAGTGGGAAGTCTAAACATCCTAAAAATAAGGTTTTGCATGTTTGGCTTTTATTAGCAGCCTAACATCCAAAGAGCAGAGAGCCAGCAGTGTGCTATCTCACTGCAAAACAAAAGGAACAGGGGTCGGATAGCTAAGATCATTCAAATCAGCAGAAGTGTGCAGTGGAGACTTCCAAGCTTCACTGCAGCTAATCCAGAAGCAGAGAGCCAGATCTGAGATCAGCTTGAATCCAGCACTGGAAAGTTAATAGCAACTTCCACCAGCTGTGAACCTCAGCTCAGGTCTACCCTTCCTTCCCTACATGATGACAATCCCAAGCAGTATTGGCCCTCTGGAATCAAATCCTTTGGGATTTTATTCTAAATTTTAGAACTTCCCAGCTCTCCCTGCCCCAGTTCTGGTTCTCAGCAGCCTCCTTACAAAGCAGGAAAGCAGGCACTTTCTTCTGTGGAAGAGTGACTAAGCAAGCAGTAGGCTGTAAACTGAGCACAAACCATCAAACAGTAGATTTCAACAAGCATACTTGAGAAAATGAATGCTATTCTAGAACACTGACTGAAGTGGGAGCAGAGGGAACAGATAAAATGGCCAAAAATCAGTAACAGGGGCAGTTTGATCTTAGAATCCATTTAAAACTACTGAGAGCAAGGGAAGCCATCTGCCCCACCAGAGCATCACTTTGAAAACAAACCTGAGCAAGTGGTCAGACAGTATCCAGCTGCAGCATCTACCTACTCACATCTCCTAGTCAAAAACCTAGGGTACCAATAGCTCTTTGACAGAGCTCCACAGCACCCAACACCTCATTGCTGAGCTTTAATAAAGGACAAGTCCAGAGAGTTGATGAACCAATGTCCAAGGGTCACTCACACGGAAAGGCCACATAAGTCAAGCAGGTATCATGACACACTGCTTGGGACAAAGCCCTCAGTGTCTAGACTCTTCTACCAGTAATTTCAAAGCTTTCAACTGATATTCTTTGCAACCTACCCTGGACAGCCAGTTTTAAAACATAAAATATCATATTCATTGTCATTATTATGACATATTAGGACCATCACTGATCTTAGGAGAACGTTCTCTTTTCTCCTACCTTTTCCATCTGTCTCTCCTACCTCAGGACATGAGACTCTACCATGGCTAACAGGAAGGTTTCTCCATGACTGTACACTGCCCCCATTAACCCCTGCCAGAGGAGCACCCATGTTCCTGGCAGGCCCTTCTTGCTGCAGGGAGCAAGAGCAGCCCCCACTATTCCACTGACCATAAAAGAGGGAGGATCTCCTCCCCTCCCACATGAGGATACAGAACCCATATCCCATAAACAAGGAACAAACCACACAGAAGGCAAACACCTTGCTGCCTTGCTTTCTCTGACAGCAGCAAGGCAGGATACTACAATAGCTGTGCTATTTTTAACTCTCTCCTACCCAGGAATCCTGCACTAACCACAAAATCATCATCCAGTTTCAGAGAAATGGGTCTGAAGGACTGGGAGAGCTGGGTTTCCATCATGGGGACAGCACTACCACTTGAGATGCCACACACAGATTCTTAGAAATATGGTGAAGGGCAGGATAATATCCCCAGGGTCCTACTGCAGACACCTGCAATCAAATCCTCTTCAACCAGAAGATGGAAGTTATGCTGCTGTTCTAAATTAGTAGTTGCTCCTAGGGCAAGCCAGCCTGCACACTGAGCTGTGAAAACACCCTCTGAAGTCTGGAGGTGGAGGGGCAGGAGGGTTTCAGCTGCATTATGCTGCACAGCAGGTAAACAAACGTGTCTGAACTTCAGGTTTTCAGTTCAGACAAAGCTAAGAAACCTTGGAAGCTGAGACTGGAGAAGAGCCTCACCAGAAGGAGGATAAAGAACAGTAATTCTCACAATGTTGACATGATTACACCTCTAGTTCAACAAATAAATACATGAACTTCATGGGCTACCTTCACAAGAACTAAGGTATCTGAAGTCTTACATTATCACCAGAAAGTGACAAAGCCTAAGAACAAAAATACAAAGTGACTTATGAGGAATGCTGCCCTGCAAAGGCTTCATGAGAGGGATTACAGAGCTCCAGTGTACCTGACTCACAAGGGCCTGCACAGTTATAAAGAACCCAAAGTAACAACTCAATACTGTTAAATAAAGAATTCCCTTAATTTTACCTACATTAAGCTAAACCGCATCTGAACTGTGCTACCCTGCTCAATAGAAAAGCACAGCTGAGGCACCAATATACCTTTATATATACACAGGCACTGCTTAGTATTTTGTTATCTAGCACAATTTAAGATATGTCTCAGCGCGAAGGAGATAAGCAGATCCTGCAACACAGGACATCGCTGTTCTCCTGAGCACACACTGTGAAAGCACACACACTTTGCTATGGAAAGAGCAATCCATCACACACCAAGATCATATTATGAGACCAGCCACAGCAGCAGGACAGCAGCAGCAGACTCAAGCATGTCTGAACTTCAAACTGCTGCAAACACAACACGTCCTAAGTACCCCAGATAAAGACACAATGCTGCCACAGTGGAAAGCAGGGAGAAAATCAATATGTCAAAGCTCTCAAAAGCAGACTCCAACCTCCATCAACTAAATGGAAATGTATGGAAAAAAGCCCTTATAGCATCTGTTAACCTCACACCGAGCTGGAACAGCCTGAACGTGGAAACAACCTACATTTTAGCACACTGGAAGGAGGTGGCTTTCTGCTCCACCAGTGAATCACTATTAGTGGCAATGCACCAAGAAACTAAGCAGATCTAGCAACCCTAACAGAACTTTAAGGGAGCCCTTCTTTTAGGTTTACAAGATGACATAACAGAATACATTTAGTCAATCTGTTCTATTATGCAATGATACAGAATATTCAAGTTTGAAACATCAGAATTCTGAAGCAGCTACTATAGCAAGTTTTTAAGAGATCAAATACATTAGAAGAATTTTGGGGTCTTGGGAGTTTTCTTAGGACTGAAACATTTAAAATCTTCAAAATCTTCACAGGAGGAAAAATCAAAATAACCTGCACTTTACAGGCATGCCCACAGGTGCTACCTCCAAGGATAAACAGAGACAAAGAAGTGAGCCAAGAACAACATAAGAGTGAAGGAATTTTTCCTATGCTTTTGCCATGAGTCATGCAGATCTAGAATTAATTATAGCCTGCACTGAAAGTATCTTAAATAATAATAAAAAACTGCATCACTGATTTCAGTTAGACAGTATTTCATGTCGAACAAGTTTTCACAGGGGTGCTGAAGTATTCGGACAGCACCAGCAAAGGCAGAAGACAACGAGACCAGGTGTAAACTACCAGGACATAGGTATGTTACAAGGACTTATTTAGTCACCTTTTAACATTCAGAAACTTTTAATCTTTAACCCTGAACGATACTGATTGCAGCAGAGTGAAGCAGAAGCCAAGACAAAACCCCCAACAAAATATCTGTTCTGAGCTTCCTCAAGCAATCGGCCCATTTCCTACTACAGCTGACTCACACTGGAACTTACTCGCAAAACACTTCCAGCATCAGAAAAAACAGCTCAAAACAAATGACAACACTTCTGTACCAGGTTTTTGATGGTTCTCCAAATATGAGTGTCCCTAAAAACATGATCCAGGATTCAAAAGAAAAGCTTGGAGATCCTTGAAATGGTACAGTAAATCAGGCTTAGCATAGTCAGATTTAGTGATTACAAGCAAGCACCTACAAGCTACTTTGTATGTTTCTGTAAATCAACACGGCAATCTAGAGCAACATCTTGGAGTAGGGGAAAAGAAATAGTGTTTATACAAGCACAGCACGCAGGTGCGCGCACCCACATCCTTCTCGTCCTCAAGCCCCCACCTGTTGCCCAGTCAGGGCAGCGCACACCGAGGCCATGTCAAACTGCAGCTAACCCCGACAAAGCCAAACCCCAGGCCCGCACGCCGCACTTACCGTCCTCAAAAGGGGTCCCCTCAGGCCTAGAAAAGGGAAGAAGCAGAGCACAGTGTCACCCGTGGGCTTCCGGCCCTGTCCCCCGCCGGGAGACACAGAGGCAGCGGCCCCCGCGCCTGCCGCCCCCGGCCCCCACCCGACTTACCCAAAGATGACGGCGTTCCACACCATGATGTTGTTCTCGGACGGGGCCCCGCTCACCCCGGCCGGGGGATCCTCCTGCAACCTGCGGGCACAGGGAGCGCTGATGCGCCGGACCCATTACCCCTCCAGTGCTTTCCCCCGGCGGCCGCCTCTGCGCACTTCGCGTAACCCAGGCAGGTAACTACACGCCCCTGCGCAAACAGCGTAACCCGCAGACAGACGGCGCCGACCGACGCTACGCAATCAGCGGAGCGCGCCCTACCCCGCCGCCATGTTGTGCTGCCCCCCTTCTCTCCCAGCAGAGCGGGGCCCTTCGTCCTCCTCCCGCCCGCCCTCCCCTTTCCCTTCAGCCGGCGGCCTCTGTACCTCTTGAAGTCCCGCATGAGGCGCCTACGGGCCGGAGTGGACATGGCGGGCTCAGGGTTATAGATCACTCATACAATGCCAGAGGGAGCACGGGGCGCCCGGAGACGGCGACGAGCTCCAACTGAGGCAGCGGCAGCGCTGACGAACAGGAACGATCGCGGCCTCTACCACTGAGGCGGACGCAGGGGGGCCCGGGCTGCACCGATTCCTGCGCCGGCTGCCGGCCGATCCCGGAACGTACCAACGGCGCGGGGAAAGAAGGCGGAGCCGGATATCGCGGAGCCCCCAACCTGGCCTCTACCACCGCGGCGGGGGGGAGGTGCCTAAGGCGGCGGGGCTGTACCAACGGCTGTGGCGGACAGGGGTGGAGGCACTTGACCTGTGACGTCACGAGAGCGGTCCGGTCGCGGCGGCAGTCTGCGTGACCCTTCCCGCGTTTGCGCTGTGGTTCGGCTCACACCGCGGTTCGTTCCCAGTGCCCCTGGGAGAGAACGGGGAGGGAGCGGGAGGGTGGGAGTGAGATAAAGGCAGTTCAATGGGTGCAGCAAAGCCAAGCACGGAATTAATTCACTTCAGCCATCCCCAGGACAGCAGAGCTCCACAACAGTGACGCCATCGCTCCCGTTCCTTCTCCTGTTACACTGCATTTCCTGCTTCCTCTGAAAGCTTTCCAAGGGAAAATAATCTCTTTTCTACCTCTTTTCAATAGCCTTTGGGAGTTAAGAATTCCTCTCTGCAGTTGTCTGGAACAGACAGGATAGGCCCTGTTTATCCAGCTGATTGTCACTTATAACGATGTAATACAGCCATCTGGGGAGCTGGCTTCAGAGGAGACTCTGCCTTTATTTTAACAGAAGTTAACAAAACCACTGCTGTCCTGGCTGCATTGAAAACCTCCCATCCCTGCCCTGACGCAGCCTGTGCAGTAAGAAATGCATCAGCTTCTGGGGCTTGTCCGAAAGGGGCTCCACTAAGTGCTTTGCTTTTGGTTACACAAGGACCTGTGCTCACAAAAGATCCAGTTCACAAGAGATCCCCACTTGCAGGAGCTCCCGGGGGGTGCAGTCGGACAGAGCTGGCACAGTGTGCGAAGGGACGGGGTCACCGTCTCCCGCTCCCGTGCCAAGCTCAGGCCAGTTTGTGAAATGACCCAAGGTCTCAAATCTGCCGCTGCAGCGCACGTTTAACGCAGGTCTGGTGCTGCCCTGACTGTGCCTCACCCTCCGCCGCACACCCGTCTCTCCTCTGGGGAGAGTCCACCGTGCCTTGGGAACGTGTGGAAGTTAAACACCGCGGGAAGCCCGGAAGCAGACGCTGTTTTTCCGAAGACCTTGGCGAGCTCACACTCAGCGGGCGGAGCCGCGGGGAGGCCGGGCCTGAGGCGGGGAAGCCGGGCCTGGGCGGTGTGAGGAGGCCGCTCCGAGCCGCCGCCATGCCCAAGGTGGTGTCTAGGTCCGTCGTGTGCTCCGACACCCGCGACCGCGAGGAGTACGACGATGGGGAGAAGCCGCTTCACGTTTACTACTGCCTGTGCGGGCAGATGGTGCTGGTGCTGGGTGAGCCGCGGCGGTGGGCGCGCAGCGCTGAGGGCCAGGGAGGCGGCGGGGCGCGCGGGGCAGGGGTTGGGGCGCGGGGGGCAGGGGTTGGGGCGCCGGTGCCGGCTCCGCCGCCAGCCAGGCCCCGCCGCTCTCCGCAGACTGCCAGCTGGAGAAGCTGCCGATGCGGCCGCGGGACCGCGCCCGGGTGATGGACGCCGCCAAGCACGCCCATAAATTCTGCAACGCGGAGGAGGAGGAGAGCGTTTTCCTGCGCAGGTGGGCCGCGGCTCTGCCTCCCGAGGCCCGCGGAAGGGCCGCCCTGCTCTGGCCTTGTGCTCTCACCCTGCTGGGGTCCCTCAGCAGGGCACCGTGCCTGCTGTCTGCACGCTCCTCTTAACCTCTTCCTTCTTCCCCCAGACCCGAAGGCATAGAGCGGCAGTTCAGGAAGAAGTGTGGCAAGTGAGTGACCGTGTTGGCTCTTTAGTGACTTTGACAGCCTGGCTTTGCGGTAACGTAGGAATCCAGAATCCCAGACTGGTTTGGGTTGGAAGGGATGGACCCTAAAGCGCATCCAGTTCCAACCCCCTGCCATGGGCAGGGACACCTTCCACTAGACCAGGTTGCTCCAAGCCCTGTCCTTCCTGGCCTTGAACACTGCTAGGGATGGGGCAGCCACGCCTTCTCTGCACAGCCTGTCCCAGTGCCTCTCCCCAGTGAAGAGCTTCTTCCCAATCTCTAATTCTACCCTCTTTCAGTTTAAAGCTAGTCCCCCTTGTCCTATCCCTAAATGTCCTTGTAAAAAGCCCCTCTCCAGGTTTCTTGTAGCCCCTTTAGGCACTGGGAGCTGCTCTTAGGTCTCCCCAGAGTATCCTCTCTTCCAGGCTGAACAAGCCCAGCTTACTCAGCCTGGCTCCAGCGCAGAGCTGTTCCAGCCCTCAGAGCATCTCCGTGGCTTCCTCTGGACTTGTTCCAACAGGTCCACAGCCTTCACATTCTGGGAGCCCAAGCTGAAGACC